ACTTTTGAGGCAGGTGCTGGAACAACTGAGCCAAATCCCCGGCCCAGGAATTTGTATTTTTCTATGTAGGTTTAGTTTTCCAAACCAAATCTTTAAATAAGGTCACATGTGATTGAATTATAACAATTAGAAACAGAAACATAATAGCTGTGACAGTGCTGAACAAAGTTGCAATAATACATAACTACACTAAAAAGAAGCCAACATGGTATTTAAGAAATTATGCTTGTCACTACAGAGTACAGATTATAGAGTTGGTATATTAGTTAAAGAAAAAAATGTCATAAAGGGGGAAAAGAATGTGTGAAGTGTCCAGGGCCAACATGTAAGGTTGCGCGTACTGTACACCAAGTGTCCCCAACCCTGGGACACAGATGGTAGTCTGTATTTACAGCTGCCCACCTTGCTTGCATTATTGCCTTAGCTCTGCTTACTGTCAGATCAGCAGTGGTATTAGATTCTCACAGGGGCACAAACACTACTGTGACCTGCCTGTGTGAGGGATCTAGGTTGCACACTCCATAAGAGAATTTAACCCTGAAACAGTCCACCCTAACCCTCCATCTGTCAGTGGAAAAATTGTCCTCCATGAAACCAGTCCTTGGTGCCAAAAATGTTGGGGACTGCTGTTGTACACTACACAAATCTAAGTGATGCCATTTTTCTTAAGTGCTTTTTAACAATAACCTGTACTCAAGAATATAGTTCATAACATTCTACAGTTGAATGTCTTTTTGATTAATTTCTGCTGGATGATATTTACTGAGAGATTCCTAAGTACTCATAGTGGAATGACAGACAATGATTTTGTACTTTCGAAGCTGGAGGGTAAATGATACAAGAGGAATAAAAAATAAGCATGAAACCATATATCAGCAAACTGCAACCTGAAGCTCAAGTCCAGCCCACTGCTTATTTTTATGTAACCAGTGAGCTAAGAATGATTTTTCATCTTTTTAAATGGATTAAAAAGAACACATTTTGACATGTGAAAATTATATAAAATTCATATTTGTGGATATAAACATTATTGCAACACAGTTCTGCTCATTCATTTGCATATGGTGTGTGATGGCTTTCATAACAGCAGACCTCAGTAATTGTTAACAATGTGGCCTACAAAACCTAAAATATTTAAAATCTGGTCCTTTACAGAATAAGTCTGCCAACTCCTGATGGTAAATAAACATTGAAGTATAGTATAATTTCATCAGATGCTTTAAAGAAAATAAGGCTTAAAGGCCTGAGAATACTGTAGGTAAGACAGGTAATTAGTTAAGATGTACGGGAAGGTCTTGGTACCTGGTAAGTGCTTGCCAAATAAAAGTGTGAAAAGGCCAGGGGTAGGCAAGAGCATATGAAAAGGCTTGAAGGCAATATATGCATAGTCCCAGGGTTTGACCTGTAAGGTATAAAAAGTTACATTTATATTGTTTTGAATATGTTGTTTGAACAGCAGATGCTCTATTAGCAGGATGCGTCAGAATTTCCCCTCTTTCTCTCTCTCATCCACCCCATATCTTTGTCCCTTGGTTTACTGCTGACTTTGCTGATGCAGAACCAAGTCCTTGCCCTGGGGAAAAACCCCACTTACCGTCACAATTCTGAGCTTTTTTGTTCCCATCGTCTTTATTATTGTTTCCCAAAGCATTAACTACAGTGAGTCAGGGCTGAAGAAGCTTTTAGAATAGCCCTGTTACGATGAAGTCAGTCCATCTACACACACTCATTGATCCAGGATGCATCAGTATGTACATGGATGTGTTTAAGCACAAGAAAAATGCTGGAAGAATAAATACCAGATGTTGATCATGGTTGTCAGAAATATCTGCTGAATGAATTAATTAAACCATTCCTGACAGCTATTTTAAAATATTATATATAAAAAAAATTATAAATCATACTTCAGTAGACAACCTCATAATCAATCCACATATAAACAGAAAGAGGCAAAAATGGTCATTTTTGCGTATTATATAATTGTTTACCTAGAAAACTATAAAAAGCCAACCAAAAATATTAGTATCAGTCAGTGTTGGGTAAAGTGGTCAAGAACTAAATATACATAAATCTAGAACTATTTTTCTTTTTGTTGTTTTTTGAGACAGGGTCTCACCATGTAATTCAGGCTGGGCTTAAACTCACTATGTAGCCCTAACTGGCCTCGAACTCACAGCAATCCCCCTGCCTACTGAGTGCTGAGATTTCAGGCATGTACCCAGCTAGAACTTTCTTATATATAAAAATGATCATGTAGAAAATAAAATGGAAAAAAGCTCTGGCTGTAACCCATTACATACATATATACATGGTACATACATATATACACACATACATATACACATGTTTGAATGTTATTAAATGTATGTCTGTGTAGAGACATACAACAAATCCACAGGACCTATATGAAAAATATAGAAAACATTTTTTGGGTACCGGAGATCGAACTTGGGTCCTTGTGCTTACGAGGCAGGCAGCAGAACCACTGAGCTAAATCTCCAGCCCTAGAAAACTTTTTTGATGTATATAACGGAAGATAAAACCAGCTTTTGTGTTTTTCTTTTTTTTGTTGTTTTTTGAGATAGGGTGTCACTATGTAGTTCAGGCTGGTCTTGAATTCACTATGTAGCCCAGGCTAGGCTTGAACTTGAGGCAATCCTCCTGCTTCAGCCTCCAAGAGAGCTGGGATTACAGGCATACGCCACCACGCCCAGCTGCCTTAGTGTTTTTGAGAAAGCAATATAAAAATTTTCCTGAGTTAATTTGTGTATTTAACACAATCTCAATGAACACTTAAATGAGCCTGAAATTCATCTGAAGGAATAAATTTGGTAGAAGAGCTTATAAAATACAGTGGACCTTTGACTTACAAACTTGATTAGTTTCCGAGGGCTGGTTGTAACTGAGGTTGGTTGTAAGTCAATACAGCTGAGATCTGGATGTTTGCCTGGGTACATGCTATAGATAACAAGAGGCAGATGAATCTTCCATTAACCTAATTAACCCAAGTTGTTCATACATCAGGCTGGTCATAACTTGAGGATCCACTGTACCAAAAATAAAATTAATAAGAGAGAATTTGCTCCCAACCAGGTGTTAATGCACATTATAAACTTATAGTAATTAGGACAGTGTGGAACTGGGTTTCAAAAAGAGAAGTCAATAGAATGGAACAGGGAGCACAGAAAGATATCAAATACAGTATGAGATCTAGTGTCCCAAAAGTAGGCACTTCAAACTAAGAATGATGTTAATTTGCAGGGCACATGCCTGTAATCCCAGCACTTAGGAAGCTGAGGCAAGAAGGATCATCATGATTTGAGACCAGCCTGAATTACATAGTGAGATCTTGTCTCAAAAAAAAAAAAATTAAAAAGGATGATGTCAACTAATTCAATAATGGAGTCAGAAGATCTGACAAGTTATTTAGAATAAAAACTTAATTGAATTATTAACAAATATCAGCAGAATAAATTCCAGAAAGGTCAAATATTAAAGTATAAAAACCCTACCATAAACTTAAGTTGAAAACTAAATATTTGAATGAGAGAAAAAATTTCTCCACATATTATACAGGGTTAATAACATTAATAGTTTTATAAATAATCTATAAAATGAATAATGTGGAAAATGAGCAAGGATAATTGCTAAAAATATAAGATGGACAATGATATAATAAACACGATGTACAACTCACATTTTGATGCTATTTATCATTTGGATATTATTTAAATGAATTATATCTAGCTTTACTAAGCAGTGGCATGAGATTATAGAAAATGATGATGTAGATTTGAACTCTATTATATTTATAAATGTTGTAATGATTGTTTAGAAATGTTACTACTGTATACATATAGAAATGGAAGTGATTTTACTTATGCAATAATGTAGTAAAAACGTAAGTGAATGTATGCACTGAAAAAAAAAACTACACTAAAACATTGGTGTTTATCATTTCTTGGTAGGATTATGGTAGAGTTATGGATAATTTTTGTTTTCTTCCGTAACCTGTTTCCCATCAATCTCCATTTTCTACAAGAAACTCAGGTTATTTAATTATCAGAAAAGAACAAAGTTACTTTCATTTTTACAAAAAAAAAAATCTCATTTTGTTAATTAATTTGAAATATCTATTTTTCAAAAAGTAATTTTTCTTCTTGTTTTAGACCTGGCTCCTGGAGGTTCCGATGACTGGATCCATGATTTGGGCACGAAGTACTCATTTACAATTGAACTTCGAGATACAGGCAGATATGGGTTCTTACTGCCAGAACGTTATATCAAACCTACTTGTACAGAAGCTCTCGCTGCTGTCTCTAAAATAGCCTGGCATGTCATCAGGAACGTTTAATGCCCTTGACTTTTCACTCTGCTTCCGTACTTTTACCGATTCTAGACAGACCAAATCGTACTAGTTTCTAAGTTTGATCAGTAGTTTTGATAAACGGTTTTCCTATTCCTTGCTTTTGTCAACGAACATAATATATGCTACTTTGAAATTAAGACGAAGATTCGCGTATGTGTTCACTTTTAATTTCTGATTAAGCCTCACTGTTTCAAGGAGATAACTGGCTCTAATCAACAGAAGGAAAGTTGGTCAGGAGTACCATACATTCAAGTTTTCCGGTCATTTTAGTACACTTCTGTTTCTGCCCGCCCCAGACCCAGGCTAAGGCCAGGATCGCGAGAGGTGTGAAACTCAGAGAACAGAACCCGCCTCTCGCTCCAGCTCAGCCCCTCAAGAAACACTGGGAACGAAAGAAAACAATGGCTGTAATTACTTGCAGCAACAAACATGGTATCTAGACCACCCGTTCACTGTAACACGTTACATAATAAAAGGAAACAATTTCTCTTTTAATTGGAATTCAGCCCTCCCAGCTCCCAAATTGCTCTCCCACGGTCTCTCACTGCACAGGTTGCGGATTTCCACCGACAGCACCACGCCCACCCGAGTCGACGTTCACTCGGGGGCGTGGCTAGGGGCGGGGACCTGCGCCTGACGACTAATCTGGCGGCCGGAAGCTGCCTGCGTCCCGCGACAGCTCGGCCAGCTTCTGATTTCCGGCGGTGTTCTGAGACGGTCCGCCTAGCGGCCTGGTAGTGTTTTCGTATCCGTTTCTTACTTTTCAGTCTCTTGGTTCTGTTTTTCTCCTACGTCCGGGTCTCGCTTGACCCTGGCGAAGTGGCGGGCGACTTCCACTTCTCGGCCGCCCCGGGGCCCTTCGCTCGCCGTGGCAGAGCCGCGCGTGCACCTCCCTCTCCTTGTCCTCCCGGGTCCAGGCGCGGGGACGGACTGTCGCCTCCCCTGCTCCTCGGAACGGAGCTAGCGGTGACACCTCGGAACTGTGCTGGGAAGGGGAACTTGGAGAGGAGGTAAGCAGTCATTAAGTCGACGTGCGTATCTGAGGAAAGGTGTCAGCCGATCCTGGAATAGGGAGGCCTGAGTTATATATGGGACCCTCCTCACCACTTCGGGTTTTGAGCGCTGCTTTGAGCATCTTGCACTGAACTCTTGTAATAGCTTCCTATGTCCGGACCTCGTTTCTTGCTCTGGTTGTGATTCTGCCGCTCGACTAAGGGGACAGCTTTACTCAGACCAAAGGTTGTGCGTCTCTCCTATCTGATGTCGGTAGGCGTGGGAACCCTTGATTGATGTTCTCATTTGTATTCGATAGAAGGGTGCACAGTATGGTCTTAGTTTTGGAGTCTCTCTCTTCATTCTTTTCAGATATATTAGAGAAAAAAGGTTCTTAGGTTTCATTGTATTTGGTCTTGCTTTCCCGAGGTAGTTGCTTTTGCCATCTGTTTTGTCAGAAAGTGGAGAAGAAGAATAAAAGGAGAGAGGGTCTGTAGTTGGCTTTTTTTTTCCTAACTAGATTAGCATAATTTAATGTGGCTGGAAAATAATTCAGAGTTGATAATACTGTAAGATCTTGATTGTGGATGATAGTGTTCTAAACTATTTGGTTACATGGGGAGGCTAATTTGAACAACTTTGACAATTTGGGGTATTTGCAGTCTCTTCAGGTTTTTGAATTTTTAAGAAAGTCATTTAAAAAGTTTGGAAAAGATCTTCACACTACAAACTTCCAAGTTTGTGGTACAGTTGCAGTAAATCCAAATGATTATGCAGTACATTCCACGTGTATGTGGCTAGTTAGCTGGGTCTGGTTCTGTAATACGTGACATTACTAAATGTAAAGAACAAAATAAAAGATAAATAATAGGAAGTAGGGAGAGAGATCTCTCCCATAGGGAAAAATCAAGAGATGGAGGCGAGGAGGGTAGGGAAAGGTGATTTTAAAAAACGAGTTAAGGACTGGGGATTTAGCTCAGTGGTTTTGCCGCCTGCCTCGCAAGTGCAAGGTCCAGAGTTTGATCCCCGGTACCAAAAAAATAAAGGAAATAAGATGTGTTATGTATATGTACCAAGTCCTCACAAGGAATGTAAGCATTATGTACTACAAATATTTACTAATAAAAAAGGATAAAAATATTTGACATTATTGGCTTTACTACTTACACAATAGTTTGAAGAGTTTTGTGGACATAATCTGTACATTTTGAAATAACTTCTAATTTCTTAAGTGTTTAGATTATAACCGGAGAGTGTCAACAGGAGACTAAGAAAGTTGATGCAGGCACGTAGCAATTTGTGACTAAAAATAGTACTCTGAAACTTAATGCTTTCACTGTGCATCTGATCTGATTTGGTTTCATCCATATTTAGTCTGCCTTGTAGTAATACAATATAAATGCCATGAAAATAGTTAATACTGTATTGTTTGCAGAATAATGAGAAAAAAGTTTTTATATGTTCATTACAGACACTTTTTAAAAATAAATTTTATTTTATCCCATTCCCCCTTCCCCTCCCTATGTACAAAAGCTTTGTTTCCACTTTTTCCTTCTATTTTCACTTTCTTTCTCCCCTCTTTTCTCTCTCCCTCTTCTCATGCTCCCCCTCCCATTTGAATATGTTCTCCCCATTTCCCAATAACTATTAAATGTTTTAGTCTTTATTTTCACTTTCGGTTTCTCACACCAGAGAATGCGGTATTTAAACATGTGTGGACACTCTTTTTTAGAATATATTTTATCTGAGGTTTGTTGAATCCATGGGTGCAGAACCCGTGCATATGGAGGGCCTCTTACTGGATTCCTGATTACTGGTGATTTAAAATGAACATTGATTTTATGTTTTGAGATATGCAGACTTTTCTCATTTTCATATACATAATATAAATTTAAAATACTAAAATCTAGTAAGTGGATGTTATTTTGTCTATATGTCATGAAAATTTTAAGTTACCAATGTTAATTTATAGTAAGCATTGGCATTTACATATAAAAAACAAAATTGTTTAACTTACATTTGTATGGAAAATTGGTTTTCAGTGGATTTTTAGTTTTCCCCATCTTTTCATTCCCCCAGTCCTATACAGATATGGAGCTGTTTTACCAGATGTTTATTAGCAGTTGAAACATTAAGTGGTGTGGAGATATATAATAAATACAGATATATTTTTTAGGGTCTTTTTTTCTTAGGATAATTTTGTATGTTGCAGCTCTATTTATTTTATAATAGCTGCCAACATGGGATATCAGCTTAGTTGTTTCAGTTCTATTTGGAATTCAGTTTAGAATTGTTTTACTCTTGAATCTACAGATTAGCAATCTGTAAGGTTGTTTTACAGAGTTCTTATTTAAAAAGTTCTCTCAAACTCTGTATCAAATAAATTTAGCTATTTTTTTCCTTTTAAGAATATGAAGTATAAGCCAAGTGTGGTGGAACACTTCTGTAATCCCAGAATTTAGGAGGCTGCTTAGCAGGAGGATTGCTTCGAATTCAAGGCCAGCCTGGGATACATAGTGAGTTCAAGGCCAGCCTGAACTACATAGCAAGACCCTGTCTCAAAAAACCAAAAGAGTAAAAAAAAAAAAAATGTAAAATAGGAATATGAAGTATGAAGAGGCCTTATTTTTAATGTAACCCATTTACATTATAAGTTCAGGATGTAGGGATTTGTCCTACTACTGTACTTGGAGTATTTATGTAGTTTTTTGGTTTTTTTTTTTTTTTTGGTACCGGGGATCGAACTCGGGTCCTTGCGCTTGAGAGGCAGGCAATGGAACCAGTGAGCTAAATCCCTGGCCCTATTTATGTAGTTTTAATTGCTTCATTATTTGACCACTATCTAATATGCTGCTACTTAACTTAATTTATGCTTTTACTTATGCTACTGATAGCTGAGACATTGGAAAGATGTAGTAATAGATTGAAGTGAAGATATCAAAACTGATACAGTTTGAGCATCCCTAGTCTGAAAATCTAAATTCTAAAATGCTTCAAAATTAAAAACTCTTTAAGCACCAACATGACACCACTAGTGGAAAATTCTAACTTCATGTGGTAAGTTGTAGTCAGAATGCAGATACACTAAAAATACTGCATAAAAATAACTTCAGGCTATGTGTATAAAACACAAATGAATTTTAAATTTAAACTTAGATCCCACCTCCAAGATAATCTTGCTATATATATTTTTTCAAATATTTCAAAATCAAAAAAGCCTGAAATACAAAATACTCTGGTCCAGAGTACTTTGGAGAAGGGATTCTCAACCTATATATGTTTTTTTTTTGGAATCGGGCATCAAACTCGGGTCCTTGCGCTTGCAACCTATATATGTTTTATTGACAAGATTTTAATAATTAGGTGTCAGAAGTAATTGCTTATTCAGAAAGAGGCCCCTCTGTGTTTCTTTCACCCATGTTTATGATGTGAACTTCTGAGCACATTGTGATATTGAACGTTTCCTGGAGTAGGGGACCATTTCCCATTTTTAAGATTCTAACTCAGTAGACTTAGTGTGCCAGGTTTTCACTATGATTTTCTTTTTTAATCAAAAAGAGATTATAAGAACTCCTGATATTCAATTACTCTGCAAATGGAGATAAGAAATAGGAAAATAATTGAAAAGACTTTAACCAGTGTTACCTAGCTTTAATAACACCTGTGGTTGGGAAAGTCATGATAATGTGGATAGACGTGTGATGGTCGTTACACCAAAACAAAAATGGAGTAAAACCTTACAAAAAAAGTAAATTAGTAAGTTACTACTACTGTGACCTCAATTTATGGTCTCAGTGATACGGAGGACTTTAGCATTTACATTTTTATCTTATTTTATTGTTCCTAACTTACATACTTTGAAGTGTTTAGGTCTCATTGAAGTCTGTTGATGCAAGTTGAGAAATTTTTTTGTCTCAGTCAAATGTGCATTTTTGTTGTTGTATTCATCTTTCTTATGGGGCCAGATTTGTAAAAAGGATTGAAAATTCTAATTGTCAGATTAGTTGGTTACATAGTTTTAATAAATATATGTAAAGAAAACCTTTATCTGGCATATTGTAGATTGTATATTTTGGACAGATGAGTGGGTTTTTGTTTGTTTTTTTTTTTCTACCGGGGATTGAACTCAGGACCTTGCGCTTGCAAGTCAGGTGGCAGTACCACTGAGTTAAATCCCCGGCCCTGGACAAATGAGATTTTAAAAGTTATACATTGTCTCTATACAAGCATACTTACAGCATTTTTATTTACAAACTCATGAATGTCTCAGTACTAATATTTAAGTAACTTTATTGTTGACCAATAGAAGTTCCTAGATGAATATGTATTAGTCAGTTTTGTGTTACTGCAATAAAATAGGCTCCTGAAGAAAAGAAAGTTTATTTTAGCCAACAGTTTTGGAGTCCAACTTTGGGCCAATCACTTTGGGTCTCTTTGGAGAGTAGCACACCATGGCAGGAGCACATGCAAGAGCAAAGTGCTCATATCAGAAACCAGGAAGCAGAGAGGAATAAAGTAGAGTCTCACGGTCCCCCTCTGTGACCTGAGGTCCTAAGCATCTACGATCTTCCCACTGGGCTTCACCTCTTAAAGGTCCACAGTGCCTCGCAGTGCTGCTACCCTGGGGACCAAGCCTTTCTATATGGACCTTTGGGGGACATTCATCCAAACCCTAGCAGACATCATTCCAATTAAGAATTTTTAATTCCTGTTCCCCTCGCACATCCCCCCCCACTTTGCCTCAGATCTGTAGTCTTTCTTTTTAACCTAGACCTGATACCAAGATGTGGTGCATTGGTAAAGCAAAGTCTGGCACTGTTGGACTGTGAGGAAAAAGGAGAGTCCGCCTTCGCTGCATTTCTTCCCTAGATGACTCAGTAGTAGCTGGGTGTAAAATTCCTGGAATAATCACCATGTAGGTCAGTCTTTAGTAGTTCTTGATTTCACCTCTAATAGAAGCAGTTTTATCTATGCAGAAAGCAGCTTTTCAGGGGGCAAGAATACAAGGGAGTGGGAGTGGTTTGTAAGCCTGTATCATTAGTCTTTACTAGAGTGTCCTTGACATAGTAGTCAAAACTCTGGAATCTTCAAAACTTGTATTAGGATCAAAGATTAGAGTGAAGTTGTGAAACTGCTTTCTAACAGTGGGTCAGAGAATAGTGCTGATCTAAACAGGTGACACAGCAAGAAAAAAAAAACAAGAGAGTTAATTCTCAGATTCATCAGCAAAACAGGAAAGATGATAGATGACCAGTGTTTCAAATAAAATCATAAATAGTTTATTGTCTCAGCTCTGGAATCTGCTACCATTGAATTTTTTGTTTTGTTTTTTGAGAGGAGGATATGTTTAGGGGAGTCAAGGCCAATTGAGAGTAAGGGTATTAGAAACAGAACTAACCCATTTCTGTTGATGGTGGAGGGAAAATTGTATGCGTAGGGGTTGTTTCTTTGAGGCAGTGTAGTAGGATGAGACAGATAGCTTATGAAGAAAAAATTTTCCTTCAAGTTCTATATAAATAGCTCATAAGGAAATTTGAAACCCATTCAATTTTAAATTTATTAAGAAATTTTAAAAAATGAATGATTGAACACAAGCTTAAATAACACATGATTTCTCATGAGAAACCTAAAGTATAAATAAAGAATAAAATAAAAGATTGATAATGGGAAATAGGGAGATGGATCTTTAGCATAAGGGAAAGGGACCAAGAGATGGAAGAATGGGGATATAATGGAACTTAAAAGTTTTTCTCTAATTTTTTCTGTATATTTATATATTTTTTCTATATATATACACACACACTGTATATATGTATATACAGTGTGTGTGTATATATATATTTTTTTGTTTTCTTGAGACAGGGTGCTGCTATGTAGCCCAAGCTAACATCAGATTTGCTTCCATCCTCCTCCCTCAGTCTCCTGAGTACTGAGATTACAGGCATGTGCCACCATGCTGGCTTTTATATATTTACTTCTTGAATCTTACACAGATATAAATTATAAATTGCTGGGAAGTTTTTTTAGTTAACCAAAACTAAATTTTCTAGATCTCTTAGTTACTGTTCTCATTGCTGAGCTAAAATACCTGACACACAAAGTTAAAGGAGGAAAAGTTTATCTGGTTCACAGTTTGTAGAGGTTTCAGTCCATAGTCAGCTGGCTCCAAGGCAGGGTGGCAAGGCAGGATAATCAGTCCATGGCAAAGCAGGGCAGGCAGAAGGCAGAAAGCAGCAAAGAAGCAATAAGCAACAAGCAGCTCTCTTTCCATCCCTTATATCTCATCCAGGCTACATGCCCTTAGGCTGGGTAATACTCACGCCCAAGGTGGGGAAGCTTTAATTCTACCCAGAACTATGCCAGACCAGTCAGTGGACTAATTTAGTAATGATTATACAGCCTTGATCCAGCATCACACACTCCAGATCCAGCTACCTCACAGCCCCACCTGTGACTCCATGAGGCTTTGGGGGAACATCTAGACACAAGCCATAACAGTCTTTATGGTTAGTAAATCAAAGAGAACATATAAAATTACACCAAATTTTCTTTGATTTGTTCACGTTTAGGCTGAATGAGTTCAAGAAAAATAAAGATTATAAGGTTGACACTAGTATGTAGAATTAGCTATAGTTCCTTACTTGGAGAACAGTTGATGCATAAGTGATTTTATGTTGCAGCAAAGTCTTATTCATTTATGTGACACTGAGCTAATTTTTATAATTTCTAATTGCTTTAAAGTTATTTTTAAGTGCTTTGAATCCCTAAAAACTAGTTGCTATTGTATTAAAACAATAGTTACATCTTAAGTTACAGTAATGACTAAACTACCATATTGTATCAATTATATTTTCTTGATTTGTCATCATTTTTTGTCAAATGTTCTTTTTTAATCTTTTACAGAATGCAATATGGAGAACGTAATTTAACCAAATATTGTTTTGAATTTTTATTATTTGTTGTTTTGCTTTAGTACTACCATGATTTGATGTCCTCTCAAGTGATACTTCTTTACTTTGAGACCTTATTAAAGAGTGTTTGTGATTTTTGTAAAGATTACTTCCAAGCCAGGTGTGGTACTGCAGGTTTGTAATCCCACCTAGTTGGGAGGCTGAAGCAGGAAGATACAGTTCAAGGCCAGCCTGAGGAGTATAGTGAGACCCTAAAAAGGCTGGGGATGTAGTTCAGTGCCTGGCACATAGGAGGCTCTAGGTTTGATCTCAGGGAAAAAGACTAGTTCTCTAACAAATGGAACTTTCAGTTTTTTAGCTGCGATGCTTCATTCTAGTAACTTCTGACAACTATTAAGGTTTAAAGTGTGATATAGCTTAGTTCTTTTTTACTTGTTCTTAATTGGCAGTTCCCACCCACTTTTCACAGCAGATACAGTTGCTTCTTGGTCTAGAATTTAATAATGTTTTCTAACATATATCATGCTATCCATTATTATTTTAATTTCCAGTTTAATCAGTTATATAATGGGATTATCTTTCTATTACAGTTTTTATATATTTTATATATATATAATTTATTTTATATATATAAATTTTATTTATATATATAAATATATAAATATATATAAATATATAGATATATAAATATATAAATATATATTTATATATATATAAATTTTATTTTATATTTCTGACTCTCTGTCATCCCCCCTCCCCCTCTTGACTGGGTCTTGCCATGTAGCTCAGGCTGGCCTTGAATTCGCAGGGACCCTCCTACCTCAGCCTCCTGAGTGTTGGGATTGCAGGCATGTGCCACTACACCTGGCTAGAAATATTTTTATCATTTGTCTTTCTTTTCTTGTTGGTAAAATAGCCTATGCATTACTTCTAGCACCTTTGACTTTTATGTCAATGTATGATAGACTATAGAAACTTTGACTTTTTCTAGTTCTATAACTTGTCCTATTTTGGAAAAAAGTCATTTTATCAACCTTGAGGGGCTTTTTGTTGCTGTTTTACCAGAAAATAAATATCCTTATCAGGCTGCTTTTCTTTGACCTTTGAAGAAAAAGAAAATATTTAGTGCTCATTTTTCTCCCATCAGCATGAGGGAGGCTAAAGTTTTTTGAGGCTAAACTTCTGCTGTCACTTAAACTGTATAAAATATGCAGCATAGGATGAGCCGGGCCTGGTGGCCCACTCCTGTAATCCCAGCACTCAGGAGACTGAAGCAGGAAGACTGTAATGAGTTTGAGGCCAGCCTGCATGGCATAGCAAGACCTTATCTTGAAAACCAAAAAGGAAAACATAGTTTCTGTTATCAGTATATTACCTGGTTTTTACTTTTTCATTTTCTGATACATGTTTTTCAGTTAAGCAGTTCCTTGAAGTTACTCAATTTTGAAACAGTTTTTCTAAGTAACTTGTTAAACATTTTGTAGTGTTTTTTCTGGATTGAATGTACTGTGAAAAGCCTTGCTGCTGAATGGAATCATTTGTTTATTCTGCAGAAGGGGTACAGATTTCAAAGCTGTTACAAATTTACTAATAAGAGGTGTTTATAAGATACTTTATTTTTGTTTAAGTGTCATTCCTCTTGTCCTCAGTTCTCCCCCAAGGAATATTCTTGATATTTTACAGTGCTACCTCAGTTTTATCTATTTGTAAGTTATGGGTTGAGTTATTTAAAGAATTTTACAGTTTTGCTTCCTTCTTTTTTGGTTAAAGTAGTACAAAATGTCAAAAATTAGGAGAAAAGTCACAGTGGAAAACACCAAGACTATATCTGATAGCACATCGCGAAGACCCAGTGTGTTTGAGAGGCTTGGACCCAGCACTGGCAGTACAACAGAGGTGAGTTGTCCTTGGTGTGGTCACACATTTCTCTTAGAATCCTTTTACTGAAAACTGATCTGCATAATAAAGGTGAACAAGTTGTTTTACTTGAGAATGTCAGTTTAGTAAATTTTGTTAAATGTGTTTATAAAAGAGTAAAGGAAAAAAAAGAGTAAAGAAAGTGGTAGGGTTTATGGGTTTTTCTATTTTTTTCTAATTTTTTTTTATTATTGGGGGAATAATATATCATAGGTTAGGTGGAGTTTTGCTAGAATTTGTCTTAATTTTGTCCCACTAGCATGTCTTTTTTTCCAGATATAAAAGCAAATTTACCCAGTAATATCTGTCTCTTAGACACAGTGCCGTAACTGGCTGAAGACTGGCAACTGCCTCTATGGAAACACATGCAGATTCGTACATGGCCCTTCACCTCGTGGGAAAGGTTACAGCAGCAGTTATAGAAGGTGAACTGAGAACTTTGAACTGCTCACATACTATTAGAAGATGGCTTTTGTAGTTTATGTACTATGAAAACCTGAAATACAACCATATATTTGGTCAGATTTTCTTTTGATAGCAGTCTTATCTATAGTCAAAGATCCACAAGATCTTTAGGTTGTTATTTTCAAGATTATGAAAATGTTAGCTTTAAAGTTAATGTGTATGTTTGGTATTTATGTGTTTTAACAATGGATCCTTTTGTAATATAGTATGGCTTACTTTTTCCCTCTAATTATTTATTAAGACACAGAGTTCCATGATATTAGAATTTATTTTTAGTGAAGTCAGACTATTGTTAACTCTTCAAATATTAAAATTTAAATAGTGTTTTTAATATGTTATAAATTCAAATTTTGTATAAACCCTGTTGGATAAAATGCATTTGCCAAATTCGTTATCACTTTGTGTTATCATAAATAAAATATATTTATATGTGGGTAGACATACTTCCTGTTTAGAACATGATTTTGCTTTTAACAGAGGCTTGGCTAAATTGAACTTGCTTAATAGTTACCTTTTTATTTTGATTTCCTCATGATGACTTTGTAATGGTCTTTAAAGAGGTAGCATACATAGAGTGTCACAAAAGCAATTTAAACGTGAGTAGTAGACAAATAATTTACCTAGTCCTAAAGTTGAGTATGCTGATTGCTTAGGCAACAGCAGTGTATAAGAACTGAACATTAACAAATGGAAACTTTTCTTTGAGTGAATTTGTGTGTAGATGTCAAAGTTTATTAGAATTTAAATTTCAAATTTCCTTAATATTAGCTAACTTCTTGTCCCCTTAAACAATACACATTTTAGTTTATTTGTGATGCCAAATACTCTGATTTGTATTTAGAGTGTCATTTGTCATCTTATTATATATGTTTAATTACCTGGAAGTACATACATAAATGCATTTGGAGAAACTCAGTATTTTTAATTTTTGTTTATATGAATAGCATACTTTTAACATATGCTTTAATTCATCTGAAAATTTTTATTTGCCCACTCAAAATCACTCAAAATTTTTGTATAAGAGATAGTTTTGAGGAAAATGAGTAGAAAACTTTGTCTCAAATGGAAAAAAGTAATGTTATTACTAGACTTAGAATAAAGGATTTGCTGTTAAGATTTTGCTATTTTTTGTGTGTATTTCCATCTGGTAAATTCTTTGATTGGTATTGGGAGAAAATCTGTAAATATTTCTCATATATTTACATATTAGTATTTAAGCTGAAGTGAGTTACTCTTGAGAAATTTAGGAGCTAAGAACAGTTAGAAAAGTTAAGATTTATGAGGTTTTTCTATAAATATATTCATGTAAGATATTATATAAATTTAGGTTTTTTGTTTTTTTTGTTTTTTAATTTCTGTTGTATTTTGATTCAAAGGTCACCTGAAAGACCTACAGGGGATCTCAGAGAAAGAATGAAGAACAAACGCCAAGATGTGGATGGTGAGCCCCAGAAACGAAATACAGAGGAATCATCCTCGCCTGTTAGGGTAAGGGATGAATTTCCCAAAACTTAGTTAAATTTCAGTAGTGATTTATTCTTTAAGTTCCGTTTTAAATACGTTGTATGCCAAGTGTATGGTAAATGTGCACTTAGGCACTATAAGATCGTAAGATGAAAGGAACTGATAGACAGTGGGCAAGCTGAATTTATAGGGTTTTTGTACTATGGTGAGGATCATGAGTATCTGAGTATATTCTTAAATTTTTAGAATTCAGCTATTCATCATATTTTGCTTCCAAGAAAGATTGAAGTGACTTATAGTAGAACACTTAGGAACTAAAACAGTGAAAGCAAAGCATGGAGTACAAAAACTGAATTAGAAAACTTAGGTAAAGAAATAGACATAGAAGCACAAAATTTAGCTGTGAATTTGTTAGCAATGAAGTAAAAAGAGATACACAATTTATGATGTAGTACACTGAATAAAAGAAAACAAATGTTACGAATGGAAATCATTCCTGGATCTTTTTTTTTTTTCTTTCAAGAAATTTATTATACTTAATTGGTGTGTTTATACCAGATTTATTGAGAGAGAGTCCACGTACTGTACAGTTGATTCATTTCAATTGTGCACGCCACTGTTTCACAGTCACACAGCTGTCACCACAATCACTTTCATTACTCCCTAAAGAAACCCATACTTTTTGGTGGTCACCATCCTGTTTCGCTGCTGACCAACAGACCTACACAACTACTAAATCCCCTTTCTCTTTCTTAGATTTGCCTACTCTAGACATTTCACATAAATGAAATAATGTAATGTGTGATCTTTTGTGACTAGCTTCCTTCACTCAGCATAATGTTTCCAAGCTTCATGAAAGATGATAAAACAGGTCAATATTCCATTCATTGTTTTTGCTAAATAATATTACATTGTATGGATAGACCATATTTTGTTTGTTCTTCAGTTGATGGATACTTGGACTATTTCCACTTTTTGCCTCTTAATGTATAATGCAACTATAAACATTTGTGTATAAGCATTTGCGTGGATATATATTGTAATTTCTCTTTGGTTTATATTGAGTGGAATTGCTGAATCATGTGGTAGCTATACATTTAACCTTTTGAGAACCCGTTAGACTCTTACTAAGAGGCTGCACCATTTTACATTTCTTTTTTTTTTGGTACCAGGGATCGAACTTGGGACCTTGCGCTTTCGAGGCAGGGAGCAGCACCACTGAGCTAAATCCCTGTTCCACCATTTTACATTCTTGGTAGCAGAGTATAAGGGATTTCCAGTTTCTCCACATCCTTACTCACACTTATTTAACTTTTTAATTATAACCATCCTTGGGGGCATGAGATGATAATGTACAGTAATCATGGTTTGATTTGTTTATTTTCCTCTTGCTATTGCTATAAGTAGAGTTGTAGTGAATGCCTTTGTTCAGTATCCTTATCTGAAATACTTGGGAACAGAAGTGTTAAGAATTTTGGATTCAATTCAGATTTTTGAGATATTTGCATATACATGAGATATATTGGGAGTGAGACTGCTGAAGAACATGTTGATTGCTTTCAAGTTTTGTTAGTTATGAACAAGGCTGGTATAGATATTTTATGTGCAGGGTTTCTTTGTTTCTAATTTTCAACTCTTCTAGGTAAATACCGAGGAGTATTGTTCCTAGATTACATAAGAAGAGTATTTTTAGTTTTGGAAAAATCTGCCAAACTTTTCTGAATTGGCTGTGTCATTTTAGATCCCCACCATTAATGAATGAGGTTCCTGTTATTCTACAATTAACCAACGTTTGGTGTTGTGAATGTATTGAGTTTGGGCTCTTCAGATAGGTGTATAGTGGTATCTCTTGTTGCTTTGTGTGCAGTTTCCTTAATGACATACTATGATTATAAGGAATGGGAAAGGGACGTTACCAGAACTCCTGCAGTGGGGTCCTGGTCTCCTGTGAGCCATGACAGCACAAGGCTAATTAAAGAATAAAGACAGGAAATGAGACTTAGAGAAAAAGCTGGGTTTTGGGACTGATCAGTGCTGATCTGGGCAGCAAAGACAAAGGCCCCCAGGTGGATCCAGTATTTATTGAATACAGCCACGGGAAGGAATAGGGAGCAGGGTATGCTTTGAAGGCATCTAGTGAAACACTGCCGAACACCTGGCATGCTGGTGCCAGGCAATGCTATAAGAGAGTAAGCACTGCTTATCTTGCTTGGATAGGAACAAGTACTGGGACTGGGTGCAATTAGCAAGCAACCCATCGGGTCAGTGAGAAGCCATAATTCAAGGGAAAAGATTTTAATTGGGTTCACCCTGAGCTCAGCTGCACATAGCTCAGCAGAGCCCTGTCATTTCACAGACCAGGGCTTATGCTTCGGTGGCAGCCACTGGGGGAAGGGGCTATACTTGCCCCAGTCTGCCATCTGACATGCCCATTTGAGTCACATGGGGCTTCAGTCTGACTCCTGATATAAAAGAATATAGCTGAATTAGGGAAAGCAAGAAGCAGATACCACTTATAGCCCACTAGGACTGGGCAGGGATGCCTACTACATATGATGAACATCTTTTCATATGTTTATCATCTGTATAAGTTTTTTGGTGAGGTATATGTTTAGGTCTTTGACACACTATCCATTTAGAGTTAATTTTTCAATGATTGTAAGGTCTGTGTCTAGATTCTTTTTTTTTTAATGTTCAGATGTTCAGTATGCTAGCACCATTTGTATAGAGTCTGTTCTTGCTCCATTTGAATTGTCTTTATTCTTTTGTCAAAGATCAGTTGACACTATGTCCACTGTGGGTCTATTTCTAGCTCTATGCTATTTCTCTGATGTGTTTGTCATTCTTTCAGCTGATACTAGGCTGTCATGATTACTCTAGCTTTACATGAGGTCATGAAGTAATGTCAGTTTTTTTACTTTGATCTTCTTCAGTATTGCATTGTCTATTCTGGGTCCCCTTATAAACTTTAAATCAGTTTGTCAGTGTCTGTAGAGTAGCCTGCTGGGATTAAAGTGAAGATAGCATTTAATCTGTAGAACAATTTGGGAATTATTGAACAATTAGTTAATTTGTAGAACAATCTTACCATATAAATTCTTCCTGTCTCTGGCAAAATTAGATTAATTTTGAAAATCATGTATTGAAGCATATTGGCAAATTAGTGCACAGAAGATGGGAAAATAATTGAAGTATATGAAAATCATGAAATATAAATATATGATAAGCATTGTATGATAAACATATTGCATACCTTTGGCCTTTGATATGGGCTTTTTTTTCCCTTCCCACAAGTCCAGAGATCAGTAGAAATTCTGGAGCAGTATAAGCAAGAATTTTTTTTTGTATAGGGGATTGAACTTGGGTCCTTGCACTTTCGTGGCAGGCCGCAGAACCACTGAGCTAAATCCCTGGCCCAGTAAGAATTTTTTAATAATTAAAACTCTCTAGAAATGGGAGCAAAGGGGTGTGAGAGTAGAGAGCCATCAGTGGAGACCTTGGGAGCCCATTTTTTTCCTGCCAAATTCATCTAATAGAGGGCTTCTGTACTATGTAAATATAAAAGAAAATTTTTTTGCATAAGGTAGGAGGTTGGATTACATTTCTTACAAATCTCCTAACATTTTATTGTTTAGTTACTAATCCACTTATTCTGATTCTTAACTTGTGTTATCCTCCATATTTCCTTTTTATTTCAGATTCCTTTTAATTCCTCCTTACTGTTTAAAATAAAATTCATAATGGACATGGTCTGCACACACATATAATGATCATGATATATGAACATAAAATAAAGGAAAAACAAAAGTAAGTTACAAGTCCATAATCAGTTGAGCATGATACTGTATGCCTGCCATCCTAGCACTCTGAGAGGTGGAGGTAGGAGGATCACAGGTTCCAGCCCAGCCTGAGTAACATAGAGACTTTGTGAAACACTGTCTCAAAATAAAAAGTAATGCCGGGGATGTAGCTCAGTGGCTCCTGGTCCTGAGTTTGATCCCTGGTACTGGAGAAAAAGAAAAAAAAGAGTAATAATAAAGTGGGGTGGGGAGGTTGAGGATATTGGTCAGTACAAAGGCATTGGATTCAATCACCAGCAATGCAAGAAAACAGAAGTTCACAATCATTTATTGTATTTCTGAAATCCAAGAAACCTAAAACCATGTAGACTTATTTGGCAGCAAAGCTAGATGTTGTAGTGATCTGATTATAGTCTTTTCCAAATTACTAAATTCCGATTTTGCTATAAAAATACTTACATGTTTGATCACAGGCGGCTGCTGATGCAGACCCTGCTGTCAGTGTTACTCACTATATTTTGAAATTTTAAAAAATTCTGAAATATCTGGTCCCATGGGTTATGGCTAAAATATTGTGTTTCTTTAACAAATATTTCAACATGCATATTCAGTATAATAGAAAAATAAGGTGAATGTTTAGAATTTAAAAATGCATTACAGTAAAATACACATTGCCATTCATCCCCCTCAGCACCCTCCACCTCTCAATCACATGACCACCATCATTCTTGCCACTTTTTGTAGCAGTCCTGGAAGTCTTCTTTTGTGAGTGTATTTAATTGTGCTGTTGTGGCTGCCTCAGTGTCCTGGATTTATGCAAACCGTTTACCCTTTATGGTCATTTTGACTTTGGAAATCAGGCAGAAGTTGCATGGTGTCACATCCAGTGAATAAGGTAGATGACACACTGTTACGTTTACAAGTTTGCCTTTTCATTGGATGGCACTCAGCAGCAACATTCATTGTATTTGAGCACGTTTAATAAAGACACTCATGAAAGAAGACTTTCACAACTGCTTCAGAAAGTAAGAAATATTAGATAAGTGTGTTCAAAGTGTGGGGATCATTTTGAGGAGGATTAATGGCAGTCTGTCTTTTACTGTAATTTTTTTACCTAAGCACATCATATATTTTCATCAGCCCTTGTTTGTCCAAATGACTAATTTTAGAATTGTGATAGTTTATATCTAGATGTCCCTCAAGAGCTTCATGCACTTATAGGGGGGGTTTGGGAAGAAGATTGGATTATGGAGTGCTATAGCTGACTTGGTGTTAGGAGGTGGGGTCTGTAAGAAGAGGTGGGTCATTGGGGGTGTGACTTGGAAGGGCATATCTCCCATTCTGGTTCCTTCCTTGGCTCTTTGCTTCCTGCTGCCTTGATGCCAGCAGCTTTCCTGTGCCCAGGCCCTTCTACCATGCCTTCCTGCCTTGGAACCGTCTGTGCACTAAAATTGTGAGCCAAAATAACCTCTCATTTAAGTTGTGGTGTTGAGTATTTTTCCCAGTGATGAGGAAAGTGACTAAAACAAGAATACAAAATAAAATAGTTAGAAGGTTATATTTCTAATTAATATGTTTGGATTTAAGAAATATAAGATGAAAAACCATCTAATCAAGAAATAAAGGACTGTGCTGTACCATATGTGACAAGAAATGCCAGGCTCACCTGTAATCCAAGCACTCAGGAGGCTGAAGCAGGATTGCCACAAGTTTGAGGCCAGCCTGGACTACACAGTGAGTTCAAGGCTAGCCCGAGCTATATAGCGAGACCCACCCCCCTCCAAAAAAAAGAAAGAAAAAATACCAGACCCTATTTATTTGAATATGAGAAGAGGAAATAATTGTATTTGATAAAGGAATAGCATGCCTAAATAAGTTACAGATTGTTGAAGTAGAGAAAATGAGGAAATACGATAATTTTAAGCAAGCTAGACCTTCCTAATGTGTTATCAAAATAGTTCTCTATATTATGATTTAAAGCAGGATAGTGTTAGAATATTAGAAAAAACATTTTTGTGTTTAATATTACAGATTATTTTGTCTATTTTGTAGCACCAGCACTACTGCTCTGAAGTCCTTTGCAGTTAAACTTGTAGTTGGTTATTAGAAGATGCTTTAGACAGAAAACTCACAATATTTTCCTCAGATATTTGAAGATAACTTCCCATAAAATATTTGTAATATGGGTATATACTAATGTATATTTAATAGTGGGTTTAATTCATAGAACATTTGGAAATTGTATGAGGTATATAATAGTTCTTCATTAGTGTTTCACAGACTATATTTTATGATTAAAAATAGATTGTGTTCCTTTTTTCTTTTGTCTTCTGTATAAATAAAAGCCCGTTTTTTTCCTTGATCCTTTGCAATTTTTCCATAGCAAGTATTATTCTCATAGTCTTTTAATGATTTTTGTTACCGTTTATTATCTTATCAGTAATCATATATGTCATTTTGCAGTTATTATTTACAACAACTTACCTAAATATGGAAAATTTAGAGGCAGCTGTATATCACTGTTCTTGAAAAAGAAAACTTAGAAGAATCGATTTGTGTAGTTTTAGGCAGCCAGATTATATGACTAGTAATGCTCAGAAGGAAGTTTAAGCACTTAGTATCATTTTCTTTTGTAGTTACTATTTTGATTGTGAAGAAAAGTGAGAATTCCACTGTGATGGAAAGATAACAGTTATATGACACTGGTTACTTTATTTTCTCACCACCTAGTAAAATGTGGTTTCAAATCTTATGTAATAGGTTATTCAAATGAATTTTATAAATTGAATTGCTGTTGTCCTGTTTTGTGTATAGGCTATTGTTAAACTTTGAATAATATGTAAAACTTGTTTTTTTTAATTATGTTGTTTAGAACTAATTGGTAAAATGTCTTTTTTTTAAATGCTGTAAAATTGTTAAATTTATCTTTAGGCATTGTAGGAAAATGGCTGTTATTTTAGTGTATAAGTCTTAGATCAATTATTTTGAGAGTTTACTATGAATGGTTTAGAACTCTTGTTTTTAAATATGGTCACTTACAAATCTTTCCATTGTATTTTATTCTGTCTGCCTGCCTGCCTATCTTATCTGTCTATCTGTCTGTCATGTTTTTCCTCTTTTTTCTTTTTTTTCTTGACAGGGTCTTGCTATGTAGGTCAGGCTGGCCTTGAATTCATGGGAATTCTTCTGCCTCAGCCTTCTGAGTGCAGGAATTACAGGCGTGCACCACCACACCTGACTCAATATTGATGTTCTTTACTGAAATAAACATACTATAATTTTTCATTGTGGTGCTGTACTAGAACTTGTCGCTTCCCCTGCTTGTATATAAATGACTATTTACAAAACTGATTCTTTGAAACAAAGATGAATGAAATTAAAATATTATATGATAACCTACCACCTTATGTAATTTTTAAAATCACTCATCGATGTGTATGTATGTACTTCTTAGAAAGAATCTTCAAGAGGGAGACACAGGGAGAAGGAAGATATAAAAATCACTAAGGAGAGAACTCCAGAAAGTGAAGAAGAAAATGTAGAATGGGAAACTAATAGAGATGGTGAGTTTCAAGATCTTTGCGTACCTAATCAGTTCTTGATGATTCACTCTATCGACTTTAAAACTGTGATCTCTCTATTGTTTCAGAACTATTATCCTACTTTGGTGTTATAACGCATATAATAGCAGTACAAAGGCAGAAAAAGAAGTTTGTGCTGCATATTTCAACTTCCTCATTTTGTTTTCTCTCTAGAACTTTGCTGTATGATAGTTCTTTGGAAATTTATTACATTTGTAAAATTTTAAATTCCTCAATACTAAGATTAAAAAATTTAAATTTATGTTATTTTACACAAAAAATATTAAAAATGGGATCTTTAAGACTTAAGTGCCTGAGAAAATTACTTCTAAGAAATTGTTTGTTGACTTTTCATTTTTCAGGGGAAATCAAAATCAGATGATAATTGAGTCCTGGGATGTATTCATGAAAATTAGCAAAATATCTGAGTCATTGTCTTAAAAAATAAGCATTTGTTTTCCACATCACAAATGTTCTATCAATGATCTCTGAAGATGTATATAGACCAGAATTTGAAAAGTATCCTAATCTCTCCAGTAATCGAAACATCAGTACTATTAAGGAAATCTATTCTATCCTTTGGATAGTGCTGTGTTAAAAAGTTGTTTTGAAGAACAAACTGGAGACTTCCTTATGATTAATTCATTGGTATTTTATAACCCAAGCCAATATCTTTTGTACACAGTTACAGTAAAAGTAGCTATGTTGTTCCTTTGATAATTGGTTGAGTCGTTAATAAATCGCAGTATTTGCTTTCCTCATTGTTTGTGCAAGAGGCCTTCCTCTTGCTTCATAAAGTTAATACATTCCCTTGTACTGTATTCTAAATCTGATTTCCTCTACCTCAGCAGTCTGTTCATTTATTATATATTCTCTTCTCTATCTTTTACATCCATTTTCTTTTTTTTTTTTTTGGTACCAGAGATTATATACTCAGGACCTTGCACTTGCAAGGGAGGTACGGTGCCACTGAGCTAAATCCCTGGCCTTGCATCCATTTTCTCTTCTCATATTAGTTTTGGGTACCATCTTCCTCTATCCCCACTTACAAGCTAAATTCTTCAGAGTTCTGTATGTTACTATCTCTGCTCTTTTAACTGATACTTACTGTGGTCTTCTGACCCACCTTTCTACAAAAACTGCTTTGCAAGTTGCTCTCACAACTTATCTTCTTTGCTGAATAAATGGAGATGTATTTGTCTTTGTTATATATGACCTTTCTGCAGCATTTGACACAACAGCTGTAGAAAACATACTTTGTATTGGCTTCTATCTATGACATTTTAGTTTTCTGTCTTCCTGTTCAAGCCCTTTTGTCTTATTTAGAGACTCCTTGTACTCTGGGTGATCGCTAAGACTTTATACTTGAATATCTTCTCAAAAGAATCTAAAGTGATTCTATTACATTCTATATATATTATATAGAAAATTTTCTTAAAGGTGAATATAAATGTCTTTAACAGTTTTACATATAAGACATCACATGGTGATTTCTTGTTTTCCTTTGATTAAAACTCACAAGTTTTAATTTTTGTGCATCTGTGATTTAAGTTATCTTTTGAAGGAATATTGACGTATGTTAGTCATCTCAAAGCATGAATAGTGAGATGAACTAGTTTAATAAACTTACCTTGTGCTTTGTCACTATAAAGTAAGTAGCATTTTTAGCTGAACTCAGGAAGAATTGTTATGTAGTAGTCTTTCTTCAGCTTCTTGGTTCTAGGGTATGTTTGTATTCTTTAAGGACCTCAAAAGAGCTCTCATCCTCCTATTCTTCCTCCTCCTCTTTTTAAATTTTTAAAAAAATTTTTACTGTTTTTGAGTACTGGGGTTTAAACCCAGGGCCTTTGTACAAAGCCCTTTATTTTTTGAGACAGGGTCTTTCTGGTTTCTTACTTTAGTCTTCCAGACTGCTGGGATTATAAATGTATGCCACTATACTAGCTAAGAGCTTTTCTCTTTATGGATTATACTTTTCAATGATTATCAGGTTAGAAATTGAATTTGAGAATTTGGAAAACTATTAAGTCAATAGTGGCAATAATAAATCTAATATATATTTTTATGAAAATTAATTGCTTTACAAGGCAAAAGAAAATTTAAGAAGTAACAATGCTTTACATGTTTTTACAAGTTGTTTTAATATCTGATTTAATAACATAGCTAGATTTTCATATGCTTCATCACTGCTTCTGATTCAGTCTCTTAAAGATATATCTTCTGGAAAACTCAGCCATATAGTCAGTATAGAATTAGTAAACCACACAGATAATCTAATACTGTTATAAAAAGTTTTGAACTTTGGAAACTCCAAAAGTTGTCTAAGGGACCCCCTAGGAATCCTTTCACCACTCTTTGGGAACCACTTGTATATGGGAATAGCTTCTAAGACTTGGTTGCTTACCTTTTGGCTACCACCTCTTTTTCTCCTTATTTTTTCTAGATGGAATCATGATCCCAGTGCCTCATTCATTTCTGTGTTAATTATTGTGAAATCTAGAACTTTTAATTAAACTCCAGATTGAAAGAGTTAGCATTCATCAACTGGACATCTCCATCTGAGTTTCATGTTAAGAGTACTACTTTCCTAGCTGGTCCCTAGGACTGAGTGTTGTCATTGATACTCCTTCCCTTCCACCTAGGTGTTTTCAGAGTTGACATTTCGACCTAGTAAATGCCTTTCAAAACCATCCATTTCTCTTAGTTTACTACTGATATTCTAGTTTTAAAAAACATGTTTATTGCTTGTGAATTATTTTACCAAAATAACTTCCTAATTCCATCAGTTGCTTAATGTTGTTCCTTAATTCATTTTCTACTCTAAAGCTAGAGTAAACTTAAAAAAAAATTTATTATTTATTACATAAAAATAAATTTCTGATAACTAAATGTAGAAGTTAAAGATACATGATAAACTAGAAGTAGTTGTATATGTAACCATTAGTAAATACAATATATAAAAACATGTAATCATATAATTGAGCTGGAAAATGATTTCTGAGCAAATCAGGTTTTTCCTGTGGCTAGCTGACCCAACTGACAAAGAGCCATCCCCAGCTCATCCCCCCTCCCACACCTAACACATGTCCTCCTTCATTGTCCTTTGTTTTCAGGAATGTCTGTATCCAGTGTACTTTTCTATCAAATTGTGTAAACTAAATGTAACTTCCTCAACCAATGAACTGATGATAAATGCCTTGCTTTTGTATCCCCACCCCTCTTCCCCTAACCCATATAAACCCTGTTCACTGCCAGATCCGGGCTGACTGCTTTGTGGAGAAATTCCAGATCAGCCTGCCAGTGTAATAAACTTACCTCCAACCTCTGGGTGCGTTCTCAATTCTTCTTGGCCTGATCTTGCTCTACCACTAAGAGCTGCCACTCTGTGGACTGTAAGTCTGCCATCACATAATGAGCTCCCCGAAATTCACAAGAGGGCAGTCCAGTTAGAAAACAGGCTAAAGATGTATGCATGTGAAACACAAATAGCCAATGAATGCTTAACCTTACTGCACAGAAGGGCTAATAGAAAATAAAGATAGGACTGGAAATACAGCTTAGTGATGGAATACTTGTCCTGTCATGCATGAAACTCTGGGTTTGAGACACTGCTCCATAAAAATACAGAATTTTTCACCAGTGTTTCATTAGTTTGGCAGAAATGAAAAATAGTCATGTCTTTAGGTGAAGTTTATATTGGTAAAGCTGTTTTGGAGTGCAGTTTGGTCATAGTTAAAATAGAAATTATACTTATCTTTGATCCAGCAAATGTAGTTTGAGAAACTGCCAAGAATACTTGCACTTGTGAACTATGGTTGGTATCAGAATGTTCATTGAAGTCCTTTTTCTAGAAGCAAAATGTTGAAAACAAACTGTCTTATCAAAATGAAAGAACTGCTCAAATAAGTTACAGAATATTCATACTATGAAATACTTTGCAGATGTTAAAATGAAGGTGATTGAGCTTTCTGTGTGACATGGAATGATCTTATTCATAAGGCATTGTTGTAGTTGTAGTTCTAGTTCTTGTATTAGTGAGAAAGCTATAAAGATTTTTTAAAAATTAACTTTATTGATACATTTTAGGTATATATTATGATCACATTCATCATTGGGAATTTGTACCTGTACATGATATATCTTAGTTCTTATTTTTTCCCCATTTCTCTGCCCTCCCTTCCACCCCTACACCCCTCCCTATTTACAAAAACTTTGTTTTTTCCTTTTCTCATATTTTTTTCTTTCCCTTCTTTCCTTTGCCCCACGCCCCCCACTTCCCCTTCCCCTTCCCCTTTGAACCTTTCTTCCTATTTCACATTATCAGTTATACATTTTGGTCCTCATTTACACTTTCAGTTTTAAAGATTTTTAATGCATGCAGCACTATCCTGTTAGCAGTGTTAGCACTACAGTGAAGATGGCAGTTGGAGGAAGATAAGAGGAATTTCGTATTTTACTTGTACCCATAACTGTTTAAAACTTTAATGGTGAGAATCATAAATAAAAACAAATGGAAGCATTCAAATATAGTCTTTAATCCTTATATATAAGCTTTTTGTACATCTGTGGTTATTTTCATATAATAAATTTTCATATAATAAGTACAGTTGTATTAAAGGGTATGAATGTTCCCAAGGCTTTTACCTATATTAACAAATGATTTCACAGGATAAAGGTACTAGTTTACATTGTTACCACTAAGGAATGAACTTGTCCTTTCTCTGAACCTTAGGGAACAATTACTACCATAATTAGAAAAAAAATGTCTCCATAGTACATTATATACTATTTATATTTTTCTCACTTATGGATTGCTTTTCATGTCTTTTGCTCATTTTTCTGTCAGTTAGTAAGAATTCTTTATTTATTTGTCAACCATTCCTTATTTGTTACTTTTTTTTTTTTTTTTTTTGGTACCAGGGATCGAACTCAGGTCCTTGTGCTTGCAAGGCAAGCGATAGAACCACTGAGGCAAATCCCCGGCCCCAATATGTTTTTCTGTTATACATTTTATACATTTTTAAAATCTCTCGTTAAATTTCATTATACTAAATGTTTTTCCAATGTTAGAATCATTTTGATGAATCACTATTCATAAAGTAATTTTAGAAATAATTTCTAGCTGAGATGGTGTTCCACCACTGAGATACATCCCCAATCCTTTTTATTTTTTTATTTTGAGACAGTCTCACTGAGTTGTCCTTGCAAGGGTCATGCTTGAAACCTTCCTGCTTCAGCCTACTTGGTACTCAGATTATAGACATGTGCCACCATCCCCAACTCTGTATTTTGGGCCTGTTTCTTCTTTCATAGAGTAGAAAAACATCTGAGTTTTTATTAAAACAAATATGAATAAAATAAGTACTTTCAGAGTAAGAATTCAAGTGCTTTTCCTCATAGCAAAGTATGTTGCCTGTAGTACATTGACTTTGACATATATTTTATCTGCTCAGGCTTCTCTCTTGATTTGGTAGTTGGAAACTTAGACTGAAAGCCATCTTCTCATTTCTCATATTTGTTCTGTGTTGATGATATTTCCAGATAGCAGTTTTTAGATGGCTTTAGCATTACTTATGACACCTTCAAAGAATTTTTTTTTTTTTTAACCAGGAATTGAACTTAGGACCTTGCAATTGCCAGGCAGGCGCAGTGCTACTGAGCTACATTCCTAGCCTGACACCTTCAAAATTATTCTTTCTTTTGTTTTACTCAGATGTTTGGTGATAGAATTTTATTTAAGAACAATCAAGTCAGGTCATTGAGTCATTTTATTCACTGAAGTAAAGTGTCTCAGTGGAGTACAAAATAGTAACCAGAGACAGCTATTCATTTAGTAATTGTTTTCTGATTGAATAATATGATTCAGTCTTTTTTATAGTTTATTAAGATACTGTCCAGCATAAGATGAGTAATCAAGTTTGATCACACAGATAATGAATGTATAGTTACTCAGTCCCCAAGTGTGAATGGATAGTTGCGTTCTACTGCATTTGAGGTATACCCGATGATGGTGTCTGTTTTCTTGTTCTTTAATCAATTAAATAGGACTGCTTGTCTTTATTATTTTCCTTTTTTTTTGTTTGTTTTTGTTTTGGTTTTGGTACCAGGGATTGAACTTGGGACCTTGTGCTTGCAAGGCAGCCTCCAGAACCACTGAGCTAAATCCCCGGCCCCTCTTTATTGTTTTTTAGTTTCTTCATTTTCTTTCTTTCTTTCTTTTTTTTTTTTTTCTGGTACCGGGGATCGAACTTGGGTCCTTGAGCTTGCGCAGAGTTTCTTCATTTTCTTTACCTCAGTTAAGAAATATATAAAGTACTGAAAGTGTAGCTTGACAAGGCACCTCAGTTTGTGATCAGTCAAGCCCAGCATGGCCATTAGTTAGAATAGAAGTCAGTCAGTTCCTTTCTCTAGGCTTCTTGGCATTTATGTTACATGCAGATGAGGGGTTGAATGCCAGTAGCCACAGGTTACATATGTTGTAATAAAATGGATCTTCATACTGCTCTTCCTTCTCCTCTTTCCCTCTTCCCCTTCTTTATCAGCCTTCCTACCATTTTCATCAGAAACGATTGGATATAAGATGGCATCAGATCCATTGAGATGGATAGTTCTAATCGCTTTTTCTTCTTTCCTTTTTGCTTTTTTGAGACAAGGTATTACTACTTAGTTCAGGCTGGCCTTGAACTCATTGTGTAGCTCAGGCTGGCATTGAACTTGTGTGAATCTGAGTGCTGGGATTACAGGCATGTGCTGCTATGCCCAGCCTAATTTGAAGAAATAATATGTCAATGGAAATGAATATATTAAAACTCCTTGAGAAATTAGTATATGTGTATGCATTAGTATTAATTCTAGCTTTAGATATAAATCATTCATATTGCAGTGACAGAAATTATGTTGCACACCTAATATAACCTCACTTTATTGATGAATCTCCAAGTAAATCAAGGAAATGATTACATCTTATGCAGCATGAAATATTACAGGCTTTTTGATATCTCCCTCCCTTCCTCACTTTGTAGTACTGGGTGTCACACCCAGGGCCTTGAACATGCATCAGAAAGTGCAACTGCCACTGAAGCTACATCTCCAGCCCTAATTGCAACTTTTAAAATCTCAGGTTCTGGCCAAAAGCCACCTTCAAACAGCTCCTGAATCACTTTCAGAAAACTCATGATCCTTAAAAATGCATGGCTTTTCATAAAGAAGCCAACCATAGTGATTGAATTCTTTATAGACAAAATATTTCTTTTATTTTTCAAAGGCATGTTATTCTAATTAAAGTCTTCCATTTAAATTTGTGTATAAAATTAATAGAAAAATAATTTTGTGTAGATCATTATAATTTCTGACAAGCAATGGAATTTTTATTTTAAAGATTCTGACAATGGAGATATTAATTATGATTATGTTCATGAATTGTCATTGGAAATGAAGCGTCAGAAGATACAGAGAGAATTAATGAAGTTGGAACAAGAAAATTTGGAGAAGAGAGAAGAAATTATCATTAAAAAGGAGGTATCCTATTTATTGCAATAAATATGTTAGTAATTAGTATCAGTGTGGAAATTGATCAGAAATCAGTTGATACCTGCATCTTAAATTATACTAGAATACTGATACATTGATCAACTAACATTATTAGATAATAGGAAGTCTGTTGTTGAATAAAACTGAAGCCCTGTTGCCTAGAATCAGCAGCTACTATGGGGTTTGAGTCAATGTGTCTGGTTCAGGCCCATGCTATTACTAAAATGTCTTGTTCACCTTTCTAAGGTGTAGAAGTCAAAATTCATTTAAATATAATTTGTGATTTTTTTGGAGATTTTGAAATTTTATAATTTTTAATTTACTTTCTTCATACTACTGTATGTTAGGGTAACTATCTTCCTGGTTAGAAGCAGGAGTTAAACTATTGTCAACAGATGGTGACTATAGTACTATTTGATTTTTAATTTGAGGATTTGTTTTTCATGATTTTAAAGATGTATGCTGTGTTACACCATGAGTGAAGGAGTTTGTGAATTGACTACTGAATTCTTTTGAAAGGTCTCGCCAGAAGTGATTAGATCAAAATTGTCTCCATCACCTTCTCTAAGAAAGTCTAGCAAATCTCCAAAGCGAAAATCAAGCCCCAAGTCCTCTTCAGCTAGCAAGAAAGATAGGAAGACATCTGCAGTGTCTTCGCCCCTGTTGGACCAGCAGAGGTCAGTAGGGTGATAGTGCCAGAAGGTACCTTTTTTCTCAAAGGATACTAAAAAAGAAGTACTCTCTAGTTGATTATAGAAGGGCATTTTTAGGGCTGGGGGTGTAGCTCAGCGGTGCAGTGCCTGCATGGCGAGTGCGAGGCCCTGAGTTCGATTTCCGGTACCAAAAGACATTTTTAGTATAGTTAATATTTACTGTTTTTTTCTTCTTAAACAAAAAGTTAAAACTATAGAGAACAGTATATGTAGCAAATCCAGACATACTTCAGAGCTTTTTAGTTTTTAAGAAAAAATAATAGATATATTTCTTGTTCTTTTCTCTTGAATTTGGTATTTATATGTGTGCTTGAATATTTATACTTTCATTAATATGCATTGTTTTACAAAATATATTGCTCTCATCTAGTTATAATACAAATATATAACGTTCCTTGTACAACTTGCTTTTTCATTTAATATTTTTTATATTTCTTGATAGTGATACAAATATAGCCTTAGTTCATTAATATTTATGTTACATATTTTACTTTTCTGTTGTTGAACTTTATGTTGTTTTTGTTATTAGCTAGTATAATTTATACATAATATACATTCTTACCTCTTTGTGTACATGATCAAGATTAGTTTTTATAGTATATCCCTAGAAGCTGAGTATGTTATTTAGAAATTTTATAGTAACTACCTGAAGAAATAAAAATAGGAATGATGAAATATAATTACATTGAAGAAGAAAGAATAGGACAATAAACATGTTTTCATTTAATGCCACTGTACTACAGTGGTACCTTGTTTCACGACCTTGATTCATTCCATGATTCCATGAACCAAATCAAATTGAATGGTTAGGTTTACTTGACCTTATGGGGAAATTTGATTCAGTTCTTGTCTAGTTTGATTCACTATCAGAATCATGGAGAAAATTGAATTTGTGAACTGAAGTAACACTGTATTTAAATTTTAATTAAAGTGCATACACCAATTTTTTTTTTTTCTAATAACTAAAACCTCCCCAACATTTGATCAGTTAGCAGACCCTCTGTATCTGAACCTATAATGAAACTCATCTCCTTTCTGGTTTCTAGAGACACTTAGCATAATTCAGACTCTATTTACTCTGCCTAGATTATTCTATCATTCTAATTGTACTTACTTTATATAGTGTCCAACCCGGTACAAACATACACATTTTCATTTAGCTCCCCTAGTTGCTCTTACAGTTGCTGTCAGAGAAATCTTAACAGAACAGTTCTCATTAACGAGTTATGCCTTTGTAAAACTCTGGTTTTCTATCTTGTAGAATGAAATTCCTATTTCTCAGAATGACATTCAGACTTTGATCTTTTCTGTCTTGTCAGTATTTTTGTTCAATTTTCCTCCTGTCTGCTGTCTTCTACACTCAGTCCATCAATCTCTAACTTAAATTTTAAGTTTTCCATTAAGTTTTCCCATTTTTCCTTATAGAACATAATTTTTGTTCCTTTTGTGTACCTATCAGATTTTGTTTATACCTTCTTATTAATATTAATTGCCTTTTACAGTATATTTCAGCTATGACATATATGTTTTACAACCTCTGTTAGATTAAGCTCCTTGAAAATTGGGATCTTGATGGTTCCTTGTTCGTCTTCCCACAGTGCCTACTTTGCATAGAGATTTGGATTGTAATTAATAAGGCATTCAGTAAAGCTGACTTGAACTTTCCTTTGTTCCTGGGATTTAGTAAATATTGCAAAGGCATGTGGAGGAAGTTGAACCAAGTGATATGATCCACTTGCTATCTGCTTGCCTAACTAATTATATAACTTTACTTCAGTTCTATTCATTTCTCCAATAAACTGTATATCAGAAATACCTTATCTTCATTTTCTTATCCTTTCTATTTATGACATCTTTGAAATTTAATCTCTTTACAGAAAGTTTTAATAACTGTTTAGATGACAGTTTCATCCTCTTTTTGTAATACTATCTCACTTTCTGCTTTATTAGTAACTCATCCTTTGATAAATATTTGGCCAATTGATTTAACTATATTTCCTGTATTCTATTTTGTAGTTGACTTTAAGATGATGTATTAGTTTAATAATTAAATGGAAAGACCTGAAAAACAATACCTTGCATACACAAAGAAAACATTAAGTATAGTGGTTTGTTATGCAGGTCATATTGACTAGAGTATGTCAGATAATGAACTTCTAATTTCATTGGTGGTCATACATTAAGCTGTTTGAAGATATATTAACCACAAGTATTAGAATTTCGGTTAAAATTCAGTGGAGTCTTTCAGCCAGGGCTAGTAAGTCAACTGAAGTGACAGGCAAGTAAATACACTCTTTTGGGGGATGTGGTTTCATAAGGGTTTATTTTTTTAAGATTTTTTTTTTTTTATTGGAGCATGTGTGCAGTATGTAATGTTTACATTCCTTGTGGGGAATTGGTACATGTTCATAATACATCTTAATTTCTTTTTTTATCCCCTTTCCCTTCCCTCCTTCCCCTCCTACATCTCGTGATCCACTTCCTTTTTTTGTACATGTTTGCAGTACATAATGTTTAAGAGTGGCCTAGTCTTAAGTAGGATATCATATTGATTGGATGGATACAATTACTGACAAACTAAAACTTGCACTGCTCCCTAAAAGCTGGCATTTCTCCTTGACATTCTTTTTTATCTTAAAAATTTTTGATAGAGTTGCCAAGTATTGACTATTTTTGTTTGAAATGGAAAAAGTTTTAGAAATATAGATATTACCAGTTGGATGCATAAAAAGATACCACATAAATAGGCAGTTAGATGTATGGCTAATGTTGGTGTAAGGTAAAGATGAAAAATAGATTGGGTCTTAATATTTAAAAAATTTTTTACTTAAGTAGGTGACCCTGTATGTGATAAGAAACAAGGATAAGGACCAAGATGGCTAAATTTTCTGAATGCTAATTGTGACTTGGATGCTTTTATCTTTTTTAAATCTTTCAGCAATTTTGAGGACGATACTATCCATTTTTTGTGTGTATGTGGTAGCGGGAATCGAACTCGGGACCTTGTGCTTGCGAGGCAGGCGCTGGAACCACTGAGCTAAATCCCCGGCCCATATCCATTATGTTTTTATATTTAAGGAATCTTGTGACTTAAGAACTTAATAGAAAGTAAGTTTTAGGATGTAGGCTTAAATCTTCATCTATAAATATTAATAGTAAAATGAATGAATTTTGAAAATTCATTAGATATATGAAAAGAAAGAGCTGCTTAAAAAACCAGTACTGACTGAACATTTAGCAGATGGCTTACACAGAAGTGTTAAAATGGAAACCAGGAACAAATTTAAGTATAAATTCAGGCATAAATTTGTTATGGTTTGCAAGGATATTGATGTTATGAGAGCTGTAGATCTTGAACCAAAAAAAAATCTGTAAACAAGGACATTTAGGGAAAAAAATTTCAAGTGGAAATAGAATAATGAGATTACCAAATTTAGAATTATTAGAATGGTTGCTACTTAAAAGAAAAATTACTGTACTAAATTTGAAGGCAAGTTTATGATATTGCATTATATAAGAGAGATGGGAATGACAGAAGAATTTGACATAGGAGATCCAAGAGATGCGGTAACTGTATAAGAGAACTTTAAAGAGATGTGTGTCATAAAGTGATGAAATAAAAATAGATCTAGCTGAGTAAAAAATGTGAAATTTCAGATTGGAGCAGTTTATGAATGCTTGCTGGCAAAGGTTTTTTTTTAATTTAAAAAAAAATTTTTAAGTAACTTTATTATCAAACATACAAAAAATTAAAACCATTCAAAGAAGAACAATGCAAGGGGAAAAAAACTACAATAATATTCAAATATAGTAGAACTCAACCAAAACAAAACTGAAAAGCACTTAAACATTTTTCCGTGTAACCTAAAAAAGTATCTCAAGCACCAACAAGACACCAGAGGATGTGATTTGTTTCAGAAAGATCCCCAAAACCAACATTGAACAAATAATGATCTGGAAAAAACTCCAGTTAGCAGATTCCACATAAGCCAAGCTTCTCCCTAATCTAAATTTCAATACAGTCATATGACATGTGATGGAAACACAGTCCGAGAAATATGTTATTAGGCCATTTCATCTTTGTGTATCCTTAATTACACTTTCAGTTTCTTACACTAGAGAAACTATTCGGTATTTATACATGTGTGTCCTGTTTATTTCACTTAAGAGGAAATAGCTGCATCCATTTAGCTATAAATGTCTCTAGTTTCTGGTTGTTTATGGCTGAGTAGTACTCCATTTTATTAAAAAACTACATCTTCTTTATCCAGTCTCCAGTTGATGGGCACTTGAGTTGTTTCCAAGCTTTCGGTATTAAGAACTGTGCTGCTATAAACATGGGTGCATATATATCGCTGTGGTGAGATTCTTTTAATTTTTTTGTGAAGATACCCAGCAGGGGAATAGCTGGGTTGAATAGGACCTCTAGTCCTAGTTCTTTGAGGTATCTCCATACTGAGTTCCACAGTGTTTGCACCAGTCTGCACTCCCACCAACAATGGAGAAGGGCTCCTTTCTCCCCACATCCCCACCAGCATTTGTTATTAGATGATTTCTTAATAGCAACCATTCTTTCTAGGGTGAGGTGGAATCTCAGTGTTGCATCTCTCAAATGACCTGTGCTTTTGAACATTTTTTCATATATTTATTTACTGCTTTTACTTGTCTGAGAAATGTCTGTTCATTTCAGATGCCCATTTTTTTGTTTGTTTTTGTTTTTTGGGGGTACTGGGGATCGAACTCGGGACCTTGCATTTGTGAGGCAGGTGCTGGAAGATGCCCATTTTTGAATTGGGTCTTTGAATTTGGGGGTTCTGATTTTTTTCAGTGCTTTATATATTCTAGATAGTAGACCTTTGTCTAAGGTACAGTTGCTGAAAATTTTTTCTGACATTGTAGGTTGCCTCTTAGCTCTGTTGGTGGTTTCTCTTGCCGTGCAGAAGCTTTTTAATAAGATGAGATCCCAGTTGTTGATTCTTTGTGCAGGTTCCTGTGCCACTGAGGTTTTGTTTATAAAGTCTTTTCCTATACCAATATCTTCAAGAGTTCTACCTAATTTATCTTCCAGCAAATTTAGTGTTTCTGTCCTGGCAAAGGTTTTTTAAAAATAAATTTTATTTTATTTTATCCCATTTATGTACAAAAGCTTTGTTTTCACTTTTTCCTTTATTTTTACTTTTTTTCTTATCCCTTCCTTTCTCCTTGCCTCCTCCTTTGTTCCCCTTCCCATTTGAACACTTTCTTCCCATTTCCCAACATCCATTATATATCTCAATCCTTATTTCCACATTCAGTTTCTCACACCAGAGAAACAATGTGATATTTAAACGTGTGTCTGATTTACTTCACTTAAGGGTATGGTCTCAAGGTCCATCCATTTAATTATAAATGTCTGAAGCTCATCTTCTTTATGGCAGAGTAGTACTCCATTGTATAAAAAAACCTACATCTTCTTATCCACTCATCAGTTGATGGGCATTTGGGCTGTTTCCAAGATTTAGCTGTTACAAACTGTGCTGCTGTAAAAATGGGTGTGCATGTATTGCTGTGGTATGATGCTTTTAATTCTTTTGGGAAGATACCCAGCAGGGAAATAGCTGGGTCAAATGGAACCTCTAGTTTTAGTTTTTTGAGAAATCTCTGCACTGATTTCCACAGTGGTTGCACCAGTTTGCACTCCCACCAACAGTAGAGAAGGGTTCCATTTTCCCCACAGCCTCTCCAGCATTTGTTATTGGTTGATTTATTTTCTTTCTTTCTTTTTTTTTTTTTTTTTTTTTTTTGGTACCAGGCATAGAACTCGGGTCCTTGTGCCTGCAGAGCAGGCGGTGAAACCACTGAGCTAAATCCCTGGGCCTGGTTGATTTCTTGTTAGCAGCCATTCTTTCTGGAGTAAGATGGAATCTCAGCATTGTTTTAATTTGCATCTCTCAAATGACCAGTTATGTTGAACATTTTTTCATATATTCATTAGCCTTTTCTAATTTTTTAACTGAGAAGTGTCTCTTTATTTCAGGTGCTGATTTTTGCATTGAGTCTTTAAGTTTGGGGGGGGTCTGATTTTTTTTGGAGTTCTTTGAATATTCTAGATAATAGTCCTTTATCAGAATAGCTGGTAAGAAATTTTTTTCCACTTTATGGGTTATTTCTTCACTCTGTTGGTGCTTTCTCTTCGCAAAGTTTTTTTCTTTTTTTTTTTGGTACTGGGGATCGAACTCAGGACCTTGTGCTTGCGAGGCAGGCAGCAGAACCACTGAGCTAAATCCCTGGCCCTTGGCAAAGTTTTTTTTGAAAGTATCTGGACTTGATGAAAATTTTTTTCCGTGCGCTAGTGTTTTATAAGTATCTCAAAAGAAAAAATCAGGTTACCTAATAGGAAAAAGGTGTGACTGTCTTGGACATGTTATCTACAGTACTAAATGCTATAAAACATAGCCGTTTATAGAGCTGTCAGGAAAAATAATTTGGACATAAAAATGCTATTATAGTCAGTTAAACTTTTTTAGCAATGAGGCAAACCCAGTCAGTTTTTTTGTAAAAGGGACCAAAGTTAAAATACCAAGTGAAAGATAGCTTATACCTAAAAATCAATTATAATTTGATTAAAGACATAAACATGAGGGCCAGGGATTTAGCTCAGTGGTTTCGCCGCCTGCTGCGCAAGCGCAAGGACCCGAGTTCGATCCCCGGTACCAAAAATAAGATATAAACATGAAAGGCAAAATTCCCAGATTTTAGGATGCCATCTTTGTGATCTAAGAATTGGGCAAGATTTCTTAAACCAGATTCAAAGATTTAAAGGAATGCTCACTAACAGTACTTGAGATTTCAGTTGTAAATAATTGTGTTTTCATAATGATCAAAACTTGGAAGCTACATTAAAAAAACCCTGTGGATATGAAATTGATTAAAGAAGTTTGGAAGCATCTATCAAGGAAATTCTTACAGTCTGTAACAATGACTACCTTAATCTACTGTTTTAGAAAAATGTCCACACTATGTCCGTGTTCAGTGCAAAATATAATGCACTGTAATATGTGTGTGAGACAGGAAAAAAGATGGCAATATTAAGAGCCATTTTTATTGATGAGAAATTAGTTGTGACCCTCCCAAATATCATTTAGAATTTATTTTCCTCATTCTGTAGGTTGCCTCTTCACTTTTGATTATGTCCTTTGACACACAATAGTTTTTATGTTTGATGTAGTCCATTTGTCAAGTTTTGCTTTTGGTACCTATGCCTTAGTTGTCATAATGAAAAAATCATTGCCAAGTCCAGTGTTACGAAGTTTTTTTTTATGGTTTCTTCTAAGAGTTTTGTAATTTTAATATTTATGTTTAGGTTTTTAGTTCATTTTGTGTGAATTTTTGTGTATGGTATAAAGGTCTTTTTATTTTGCATGTGGATATCTGGTAAAGAAAGTATGGAAGTATCAAGTGTGTTAACAATTGTTATTTGGGAGTATTAGTGTTATAGATGATTTTTACTTCAGTTTCTTTTCTGTACTGTACATATAGACTAAAAAATGTAATCCAAGCAGTTGTTTTACTTTATAATATTACTTTCTTTCCTAAAAGTTTCTTCTTTCCTCACCTCTATTTTTTCTTGCAAACCTATTCTTTAACATTATATAATAATAAGCACTAGTAATGTAATAAAGAGCAAGTAATTTAATTCTTTGCTCCTTTCTATGATATATTTTCCCCCTCAATATTGATACCTAATGTACAACATAATAGAGGCCATTAATTGGAAGGAACACTTTTTTTACAAGAGCACTTAAAAATACCCACTTAGCCTTTTAGAAATGTGTAGACCTCTAATTATAACTTTGTGTAACCTTCAGGAATTCAAAAAGCAACCAGAGTAAAAAGAAAGGGCCACGTACTCCTAGTCCACCCCCTCCTATACCAGAAGATATTACTCTGGGAAAGAAATATAAAGAGAAGTATAAAGTGAAAGACAGGATAGAAGAAAAACCAAGGGATGGAAAGGACAGAGGACGAGATTTTGAAAGGCAGAGAGAAAAGAGAGACAAACCAAGGTAAGGAAGATTTTGTTTTTAACAGTATTTCTTTTGTATTTACTTTTCAGAAACTCAGTCATTATTGTCATGGGTTTGTTTTCAACTATGTGTATGTATAATATTCCCATAATGAGCTAAACAATTATTAAACATAATTCAGTAAACATTAACTTTTAAAACTTACTGAAAATTTTTTTATTGTGGTAAAAACATAAAAATTACTATCTAAATTAGTTTTAAGTATACGGTTCAATAGTATTGGGTATTATAAACCTTGTTGTGAAATATCTCCAGAACTTTTTCATCTTGCAAATTTGAAGCTGTACTTTTCAAATAATAACTGCCTTTGTTTTCCTTCTCCCAGCCTCTGTAACCTTTATTCTATACTGTGTTTTTGTGAATTTGACTACTTTACATGTCTCATATAAGTAAAATCATACATTATTGGCATAAAGTCCCTAGGGTTCATTTGTGTTATAGTACATGGCAAAATTCCCTTATTTTTTCAGGGTGAATAATTTTTTGTGTGGGGTAAATAATACTTATTTATTCATTCATCTGTCGACGAACATTTGGGTTCCTTCCACCTTTTGATTGTAGTGAATAATACTGCTATAAGCATAGGCCTGCAAATATCTCTTAGGAGACTCTGCTTTCAGTTCCTTTGGATATATAAATAGAAATGAGATTGCTCATTTACATAATAGTTGTGTTTTAACACATCTTTTCTTAGTCACTAGACTTTCAAAAGAGTAGTAAGAGTAGAGAAGAAAATGTAAAGATATTTAAATTAAATGTAAAATTTTCTGAAACTGAAAAGATGAGTAAGGAGAAAATAAAGTTAAAATGGTAAAGCCTTTACTTGACAAGACATTAGTGGTCTGGTCTTACATCTTAGCTTGATTATTTAAACTAGAATTGAAGTTTTTTCTTTCATGCTGTAGACACCAAGTTGCAATAGAAATGTGATTGAGCTCTATTAGGTGGTTTTTATAGATATTATGAGTAAACTGTTTTGGTTTTTCCATTCTATGAACTAATCATGAAAGGCTATTGTAGACACTTGTGAAACAATTTTAATATATTTGAGAAATAAACTCACAGTATCAGTTCAATAGGAAGACATTATTAATTTTGATATTTCTAACATGACTAGCACTTGATGAAATTGAAATCAAAAAGTACCCAGATAAGCCAGGCATGGTGACACATGCCTGTAATCCCACCACTGAGGAGGCTGGAGCAGGAGGATCACTGCAAGTTTGAGGCGAGCCTGGGATATGTAGTGAGTTCAAGGTCAGCCTGAATTTTACAAAATAAGATGCTGTCTCAAAAAAAAAGTACCCAGATAATAGTGATTTTCCTGTTCAATAGGATATATTTGTTTGTTCGTTTGTTTTTGGTACTGGGGATCGATCTCGGGACCTTGCACTTGCAAGGCAGGTGGCAGAACCACTGAGCTAAATCCCCAGCTGTGGTAGGATATATTTGAATAGCCATCATTGGTTTTCCAATATCAAGCATTTCTACTTGTATCTAAAAGTAAATAAATGCTACTTAAGAGTCAGTTACAGTTTAGTGACTTATGGCTTTTTTTATATTAAAAAAGAACAACAGTTTTTTAAAAGCATAAAGCTAAAAGGAATCATAAATCACTAGGTATTTAGATGAATCCACATAGCAAATTTTTATATTTTAGTCAACTATTATCCAAAAGCCCTTTTTCTTTGCCTAAATTTTTGTTCTGTGAATCCTAATATATATGATCACTTTCCTGACTTACTAATATACATTTTATAGATTTAAACCTTTTATTAAAAGATATACAAAGGCATCATTTATATACAGCAACGTATATAGCTGTGGTTTTCAACCAGGGATTATTTTGGCTCATAGGGGATATTTGGGGGTATCTGAAGTCATGTCACAACTCAGATGAGAGTGATGCTCCAGACATCTAGTGAGTATTGGTCAGGGATGCTGCTGAACATCCTACAGCGTTATACAAAATGTCAGCAGTGAAAGGTTGAGAAACCTTGATTTAGGGTTAATAATGATTTTGCCATCATTTCAGATATCTTAAAAATAAACATTTATCAAAGGAACTGAGTGTAATTCCAGAATACTTTGTCTAGAATGTCAGAATTTTTCTTAAAAAAAGCATTGATAATTAACAGGGCATGTGATATCTAGAATGTTATTTTTAAACATTAGACCTGTTTCCTTTAGGTATTGCACAAATGTGTGTATTTCATTTCCTGTCATGCCCACACTATGACATAACAGACTGTAATAGTTACTCAGTTGTACTTTGTATTGTCGTAAGTGGTTCCTCTGGTAGGAGTAAAATATAATTTGAAGGAAGCTTTAGTTAAACAATAATTATATGCTGAATCTTAATTTGTGCCACCCACAAGAAAAGGCAGATTATTTAAGATAACCCGTAGCATATACTTGTCTTTTCCTTAACCCTACAATTCTTTTACAGTTCAAAATGTCAACCCATGCAGCATAGACTTTGCTTGGCTTTGCTGGTGGTAACTCCCCTTTTCCCACAACCTTGAATTTACTTCCATTTTCACATCTACTTCCTATCTAGATATTATGACTGTGTTTTCTCTGTGGCTGTTCACACTTTCAGATTATCAGAGTAAATTCCATACTTTAAGTTAGAATAGGTAGTCTTTGCTCAGGAAGAATGTTGCCTGAAAAAAGTGGCACCAAAGCTTGGGAGATAGGTACTGAATATCTCTTATAGAGCTATTGCTCTCACTTGGCTTACAAATCAGATACATCTTTAAAAAATAACTTAGAGTTTTACAGCATTGTGAATTAGAATTTATCCTAGAATATTACCTATATTTTTAGCTTTATCTTTTACATTCAATTTTGTTTTTCCTTTGACTAGAATTGAAGGCTCTTGAACAGGTTTTTAAAAAATAACTAATTAACTTTTTACTGTTTACCCTCATAGATCTACTTCCCCGGCAGGACAGCATCATTCTCCTATATCTTCTAGGCATCACTCCTCATCTTCACAATCAGGATCGTCTATTCAAAGACATTCTCCTTCTCCTCGCCGAAAAAGAACTCCTTCACCATCCTACCAACGGACGTTAACTCCATCTTTACGACGTTCTGCTTCTCCTTATCCTTCACATTGTTTGTCTTCTCCTCAGAGAAAGCAAAGTCCTCTAAGACATCGCTCTCCAATGCGAGAGAAAGGGAGGCATGACCATGAGAGGACCTCACAGTCACATGATCGGCGTCATGAAAGGAGAGAAGGTATGCACCAATTTTATCCTGTTATTTTTGCTTAATTTTATCCTGTTCTTATGTAGATATTTTCTTTATTAAAAAGTCGAGATTCATATTTATTGTTATAATAAGGAATAGAAGATTGTGCTGTATTAAGTCCTCTGTTACCTACAGACTAGAGTTCTTAAGGACAACAGGAGATTATAAAAGACAGGAATGTAGGATAAGTACAAGAAGTGGGCATGCTAAGTTGGTCTTTTATTTAATTAGGGTGTTTTACTCTGAGTACTTTTGGCTATTTGATTCTTAAGAGTGCCCCTTTCTATTACTTAATGTGTTATTGAACAAAGGAAGTAAAGGGAAGAAAAGCAGCAAAATAGGAAAGAGTTTAAAAGTGTTGAAAGTGTTTTGATAAAGAAGTTAGGGCTGGAGAAACTTTCGGAAATTCAGTGCAACCAAGTCATTGAATTTCTAGCTATAAATCCATAATAAAGAAGTAAGAAGGCCGAGAGTATAGCTCATTGGTAGAACTCTTTCCTAAGTTGTGCCGGGCTCTGGGTTCTATGATTGGCACTGAAAAAGGAAAAGAAAAGAAAGTAAGCAAAGCCATTTGTCTTTTTAGAGTTCTGAGAATTAAGTTAATGTTAGATAAGCTGTTCCTTATACAGGCTGACATGTGCACAGTCAAATAGCTTTCATCTCTTTCTGTGCATCTTACCTTTGTTTATTTAACTTTTCCTCATTTCTCCTGAGTTAGTTTTGAACAAAGAGAATACTCAGTAAATACTTGTTTACTTGCAACATTTCTGTTTAATAAGCATTTTAAATCCCTGTCTGTGAGTATAGTATAGTAATCTCCCATGAATGATTCTAAACTTAGTTCCTCTCTTCCTATCAATAATCCAAGCAGTATTTAATCTTTTTATTCAAGAAAATGGTGGATGTATGTGTAAGGGGAGAAAAAAACCCCTGTTTTATAGACTTAATCCTTTTGTACGTGATTCTGGAACCAGATCAGTGCAATAGTATATATGGAACTTTGTGGTATATTTATGAAACACATGATGGAAACATTAGTGCAATGTTTATGGAACATTTGTAAGATCAGAAAAATCTCTTATACCTATCTGTTAATTTTAAGAAGACATTTAACAACTAGAGCAGAACAAGAATATAATATACATTTAATGACTACTTATCAAAAAAACTATTATGAAATATACTAATAAAGGGAAAGTAATATGCCTCATAGAAATGCTTCTTTTTATGATAAGAACATATGATACAGGAAGAATCTTTTGTAATAGGATGTTTCTTTAACCTTCCATAAAAGAGATTTGGCAAATGTTTATTCTCTATTTAGATGTCATTTTTTGAAATAAGGATAATTTCAGTGGAGTTATAGGGAAGTAAGTAAAGAATAAAATACAATAATTAGATATATTTGTAAGGACAGATGGCATCGTGAAGAAAGGAACTGGTACTAAATGAACACATTTTTAAGGCTGGTGGTGTAAGAGGGGAGCTCATAGTTGTACAAAGATGGGGATGGTGATATATCAGATTCTTGCCTCTTGCTTCTGTCCTTAAACAGCATTTTTGGGTTGTAAGTATGTAGACAAAGGCACTGGCCAGGAAGATTGGTTATTGAGGTGAGGGTCTAAAGGCCTTGTGCATACTGGATGTTTGGGTCTTTGAGAAAGTCTATGGACCTAACTAAAAGGGATAAAGAAAATGGACATAAGTTTATATTTTAGGCATAATGCTGCTACAGTTGCTAAAACATCTTCAGATTAGGACAATTCAAGTATGAAAGCAGCTTGCAGAACTTGATTTTTTTTAAAAAGGGCAGGATTTATTTTTGATTCTTATTAAATTTTTTTTGGCTACATGTCACATGTATGTTATAGTCAATTTATGCCTTTTCTATGCATATTTAAATAGTGGTTCCTAATCTTTGCAAATTCCCATGAGGGTATGGGGTTGACTAAGCCATCTAATCTTTGGGCCTCTTTCCTTGATATATAAAATGACAGATTTGGTTTAGATAATCAGTGAGGTTCAGTTTTTTAAAATGAAAATTTTTTTTCTGTGATATATTAGAAAATCCGTTAAGTGAGAAAACTGTAAAAACTGTTGCACACATGAATATAATACTATTAAGAGCTCAGGAAAAGTGAGTAACTATTTATTTGCCAGTGGGCTTACTGTGAGCTATTCTCCAGTGCTTAAGTACAGTTGAGCTGGTCATATGTGTCCTGGTCTACTTTATACTTAGTAGATTTGGTTAACATCATTGTATATCTAGATCTAAAAGTGGTTTCTATAAAGTAAGTCATCAATAATGTAGATCCACTTATTTGTTTCATTTGTTTAGGATCAAGTGTTAATAAAATTATCTTTTGAATTTTAACATACAGATGGTTTTAATTTTATTATTTGCCCCTGTTTTCTTCTTTTTTCTTGCAAAGAACATGAATTACTTATGTAATAAAATTTTAAAAGCTCTGTATTAAATATATTATCTTGCTTCCTGAAAATTTTTTAAATGAATTACATTTGATTTCCAAAATTGTGTTACAGAAACTAGAGGCAAAAGGGATAGAGAAAAGGATACAAGAGAGGAACGAGAGTATGAGCAGGATCAGAGCTCTTCTAGAGACCACAGAGATGACAGAGAACCCCGAGATGGTCGGGACCGGAGAGATACCAGAGACACTAGAGAACGAAGGGAACTGAGAGATTCCAGAGACCTCCGGGACTCCAGGGAGATGAGGGATTACAGCAGAGACACGAAAGAGAGCCGGGATCCCAGAGACTCTCGGTCCTCTCGTGATGCCCATGATTACCGGGACCGTGAAGGTCGAGATACTCATCGAAAGGAGGAAATGTACCAAGAAGAATCCCGGAGTTATGGCAGAAACCACTTGAGAGAAGAGAGTTCTCGTACTGAAATAAGAAATGATTCCAGAAATGAGTCTCGAAGTGAAATTAGGAATGACCGGATGGGCAGAAGTAGGGGGAGAGTACCAGAGTTACCTGAAAAGGGTAAGTATTTCGGCTTGTCAATGAACTGTATCTTGTATATTCATTTTTAAAAAGTTTATTAATACATGTTTGCAGTAAATGAAGTCTACATTCATCTTAGGAAGTAGTTGCATGTACAAAACATATCTTGGTTCTTTTTTTATTCCCCTTCCCCTCCCCACCCACCTCTCTCTGTCTCTAGATCCCCTTACCCCATTTTCATTATTATTGTTATTTGTTTTTCAGTTCATGTTTGCAACATAACAATGTTTACATTCATTCTGGGTATTTGGTACATGTACATGAAACAATTTAAATCTTTTTACATCCGCTTCTCACCCTCGGTCTCTTGGACCTCTTCCCATTTGCAGAAGTTCTATCGCCCTGTTTCCTCTTATCAATCTTTTATTTTACTCTTTACTTGTACTTTGAGTATTCAAATGAGAGAAACCATACAGTATTTAAGCTTGTATGTCTGATTTATTTCACTGACCATTATATTTTCCAGGTGTATTCATTTTCCTACAAATGTCTCAGATTTATCCTTTTTTTTCCTTTTTTGTACTGGGGATCAAACTTGGGTTCTTGTGCTTCCGAGGCAGGCAGCGGAACCACTGAGCTAAATCCCCAGCCCTAAATTTATCCTTCTTTCTAGCCGAGTAGTATTCCGTTATGTATAGATACTACATTTTCTTTTCTTTTTTTTTTTTGGTACCGAAGATTGGTACAGGACCTTGCACTTGCAAAGCAGGCAGCAGTACCACTGAGCTAAATCCCTAGCCCAGTACTACATTTTCTTTCTCCACTTATCTGTTGATAGACATGTAGGCTGCTTCCAAGATTTAGCTCTTTTGAATTGTGCTGCTATAAACATTGGTATACATATATCACTCTATCTTGTATGTTTATATAGAAAATACTAAGCCTCCTAAGACTTCTAAATATATAATTTCTTACATTCATTGTTATTATTTTGTCAAAGTATTTCTCAGTGAATTGAATTTGTGATCTTCCCTATAAATTCTGTATTAGAATTATTAAAGTAGCAAAACACAGGGGCCCCAGGATGGGTTAAATACCTCCTGGTTGGGGTCATGCCTACTATCTTGATTAACGTGGAATACTAAGAAAATTACTATCAAGCCAAACATTAAAATTATAAAAAAGTAATTTCTAATAAACTGGTATATGTGATAAAATAATCATTAAAATAGTTAAATAGTATATTTTCAAAATTGGTGGCATCATAAAGACTGATTTATGTATTCAGTATTTGCACTTGTTTCAAACAATCACGTACTGAACGAAATTCCTTTTTTTTGGTATCAGGGATCTAACTGGGGTCCTTGTGCTTGCGCAGCAGGCGGCAAAACCACTGAGCTAAATCCCAGCTCCCCTAAACAATCACATACTGTATTGGCATCTTGAGCCATGTCTCTTCCTTGAGAAAGCATTACTAATACCCGGATGACTGAAACGTTATTCATGACTGTAAGCTTGGACTTCTTTCTTCAGCCAAACCTTTCTCTACCTCAAACATTGCTGCAGAACTCTTATTACTCCTATTCTTTTCATTGGTTTGTTGATCTCTTTCCCTGGTCAGTATTATAGCTTCTCATTTAAGTGTTGATTTTCCCTCAGCTTCTTCATAATTGTCCTCACTTTTCTTGGTTCTTTACTTTTTTGTGTAAATTTTAGAAAACAGTTTTTAATTTCATAAAAACTTATCAGATTATTTCAAATGTATTTATTGACATATCTTTTCCCATTAAGGTTGTGTGTGTGTGTGTGTGTATATATATACACATATATATGTATATGTATATATATTTTATTCCCAGGTACCCTCTATTTTTGTTGCCATTATAAATGGTATATACATACATATTTTTAAGCTAAATTTTTTTTTTTTGGTACTGGGGATCGAACTCGGGACCTTGCACTTGTGAGGCAGGCAGTGGAACCACTGAGCTGAATCTCTGGCCCTTTTTCTTTTTTTTGTTGTTTTTTGGTACCGGGGATTGAACTCGGATCCTTGTGCCTGCAAGGCAGGCTGCAGAACCACTGAGCTAAATCCCTGGCTCCCTGGCCCTTTTTAAGCTAAATTTTAAAATAATGCATTCACATGGTTCAAAATTTCAGAGGTACACCCCAAGCTATTAGTGAAAAGCTTGTACTTTTCTGCCCCAGGCCATTTTTTACCAGCTTTGTATATATATCCTTCCCAAAACATTTGATACAAGAAAATGTGTGTGTCCATTATGGCTTTATGTTTTTCTAACCTTTTTCAGACAGTGTTTTTTTAGTGAATAACTGTCTACATGTGTACTAAATGAAGTCTTTTTAAACATTACAGTTTCTAATGCTTATTGCTGATGCATGGAAATGGTAATTAATATTTGTATATTGATCGCAAGGTTGTTGTGTTTTTCTAATAGATCTAATTAAATTCTTTTAACAAATATATGTGGGAACAGACTGGGTGCTTCATTTCTAATTAGTTTTAGTCAGTAATTTGCTTAGCATGTTATGGCTATGTATGCTGCTTGCCTGGGATTTAGCTCAAGTGGTTCCACACCTGCCTCCCAAGCCCAAGGTCCCAAGTTTGATCCCTGGTACCAAAAAAAAAAAAAAAAAAAGATATGCTCGTAAAGCCTCCTCCTCTGCTCATAGCCCTCTTGTGAAGGTGATTGGTTGGATCATGGGGGCGTTTTGGCTGGCTTGGTGTTAGAAGGTGGGCCAGGTCAAAAGAGGCGGGTCCCTGGGAGTGTGACCTCGGAGGTCACAACTGTCTCCCTCTTTGGCTCTTCCCTTCATGCGCTGCTTTCTGGCTGCCTTGAAGTAAACAGCTTTCCTTCGCCTAGGCCTTTCCCACACGCTGCTGACCATGTATGGATTGTAGTTTCTAAAATGTGAGCCAAACTAAACCCCTCCTTGAAGTTGTGAATGTTGGGTATTTTATCCTAGCCATGAAGAAAGTGACTAAGACACCATCTCTGTCAGTGCTGTACAGTGTCGAACATAAATAAAATGGTTCTTTTTGCTTTGCTTCCAATTTTAAAGTATTGTTGCTGCCATTAAATTTTTTGCGGATGCTTTTTATTGTGTTAAGGGTTCTCCTAATTTTCTCAATTTAGCTAACAGATTGTTTTTTCTCATCTTGAAGATCATGTAGTTTGTCTCTATTTTACTTATGGAGATAGAAGTAATATCTCCATAAGATATTCCTGAGATATTTAACAATTACATTTTGAGATAAATGAAATTTTGTCTTTTTTTAAAGTTCTTGAATGTTTGTTATAATTTTGAATTAAACATGTATGTTTTTGAAATTGACATACCATCACTGGTACTGTACAGTGATAAATGTTTTAATTGTTCAGAAAAAAGTCCCAACTTTACCTTTTGCCAGTTCCCATGGTAGACATAATTTCTACCATGGCAGATTTTGGGCTACCAACGTGTCATCACTCCATGTGGAGCTGGGAAGAGAGGTCCACCACTGGCTCTGGTGAGCCAGTGTGAAGCAGTTCTAGCAAACCACTGCAGCCAAGGAAGGAGTGTGTGCGTGCATGCCTATGTGCGTGTTGCTTTTTGTTTTTTTATTGTCCTTTGAGTTGAGACTCAGTTAAGCTAGCCACATAGAATGTATTACTTCTTGTTTTCTCTTCTTTGGAATAATCTACATATAGTTATATGTTCTTTAAAAGTTTGGTGACATTTGTCTGATGGTTAGAGATTTCACCATCAAATGTGTAGATTTTGTATCTTCTTGAAACAGTTGTAGTTTTTTTCTCCCTATGGGTTATTTGTCTCAAATTTTTGACAGAAAGGTGTTCATAAATATACTTTTAAAGATCTTTTATCATTGTAATTATATTCCCTTATTTTTTTCTTAGTCAAGATTTGTACCTTTTGAGTCTTTTCAAAGAACCAATATTTAGTCTTTTTTATATTTCTTTGTATCTCTATTGTTCTATTTCATTGATTTCTGGTATTATGTTTTACTCTTTTGTAAAATATGTACTGTTTCTGTTAGTGTTCATTCTAAACACTGTACATTTTAATGATTTATTCTTTGACTCATCAGTTATGTAGAAATTGAGTTTTAGATTTCCAGGGAAGCTCTTAATAATTCCCCCCCTTCATTTTAATTGTTGTCAAATAATACATTTTTTTAAAATCAGTTCTTTGGTGTATGTGTTTGTTAAATCTCACTATGCAGCTCAGCAGTGGGATTTTTGTGTTTTGCACATGCTTGTGTTTTTAATAGTTGAATGCAGAGTATCTCTAAGATCAATTTGTTAATGTTTTTAAATCTACATCTAATTTTTTTAGAGTCTGCTTGTTCTTTCATTAGACAGGTGAATTAAATCTTCCATTATGTGAAATTTGTGGACTTGCTGATTTCTTTTTGTAGTTTGATTTGTTTTTTATTTTAGTATTTTGAGGCTTTGTTATTAGGTATACACAGATAAATTATCCCTTTCATCATTATAGAATGAGCCTCTTTGTCCTTAACAGTGATTTGTCTTGAAGGTTATTTTGCTGACTGCTCTTTTTTTAGTTAGTATGTTACTATGTGTTAGTATCTTTTGGCATAGTTTCAGCTTTTCTCTGTTTTTTTGTTTTAACTCTAAGCAACATATAATTATAGACACGTTGAATAGCCTTATTGTACCTTTTTGATTTTTAACTTTCAAATTTTTCATAACCTTAGACTTAGCTTCTTACTACCTTTTTCTTAGCTGCATCTGATCTGATAGTTAACCTTTTCATTCCTTGATATTGTGGTGTAGGTAGCCCCTTTATTGTCTTTTAAAGTGTTTCTAATATATATTTTTTCTGGTCTTTAATTATTATTCTTTGCAGATATTAAGATTATTAAAATATCCTGTTGTATTATTTACAATTATGCTGCAGTCATTTTAGGGCTTCAAATCTGTTACACATAAATTCTGAGAGAGAAAGAGGAAAAAGTGTGCTAGCGAGAGTCTCCAGCTGTTGGCTTTGTATGGTTT